ACCAGCTTCCCTCAGGTCATCACCACCGCAGCTTCTTTCAACCAGTCTCTATGGGAAGAGATCGGACGGGTGAGAATAAAGGAATATTTTTTCTTATAAGTAAAATAATAAAGGAATATCTTCATGATTAAACATTTTAGAAAATGAGAATTCTAAATTTTTGTGGTTTCCTTAAGTGAAAACGACCTCGACATCGTAGCGGTCAGTACACAAGAGTTGGATTAGCGGAATACTTTATATTTTATGTTTATTTATTTGAAATTTATACTTTCACATGTTATTTTTATTTGACAGTGACATGAATCTATCGAGTAAGTCAGAGAAGTAGGTTAGAAAACAAACTCTAAATAAATAAATATATTTCATGTATTAAAGAAAAATTGATTTTGTTTAAATTGCATATTACGTAATATATATGTCTGCGATATTTAAATAATTAATAAGATGATACAAGAAGAGTTGAACTATGTTGGAGGTCAAGGATTCCAATTTCCAACCAAGCTTAGCTATAACAGCGCAGGAAAAATATACTTTTGTTACCATATGGTATATACACGGAGAATATTAATTAAAATTTTCTTGATTTAAATTAATTAAAAGGTGGTATCTGATGAGGCAAGAGCTATGTACAATGGAGGCGTGGCCGGTTTGACGTATTGGAGTCCAAATGTGAATATACTGAGGGATCCACGGTGGGGACGAGGCCAGGAAACTCCCGGAGAGGATCCTGTCGTCGCCGGAAAATATGCAGCCAGCTACGTCAGGGGACTTCAGGGAAACGGCGCCGGTAATCGCCTTAAAGTCGCGGCATGTTGCAAACATTACACTGCTTATGATCTTGATAACTGGAATGGCGTCGACCGTTTTCATTTCAACGCCAAGGTACACATTTAAATCTTTATTTTTTTACACATTTAAATCTAATTTTGGATGTTTATATTTTTAACAACTTTTAGATGTTTCTATCTAAATATATCTATGTGTGTTTTTGTTTTTACTGCATGTCAATTTAAATATCCTATTTTCACAATTTTAAAAATGTGAAAATATTTAATAAGACTTTGGATATATAATTGGTTAAAAGTAAAAATGTTTATAAACTTAATGGTTGAAGTTGACAAAAAAAAAATTGGCTGAATATGCGTAGCCTTTACAATTTAGATATTAAACATTACAAATTTTGTAACTATTGTAAAACAGGCAAACAGTCGTCAACAAAATAATTGTGTTGAAATAAAAGAGAACCCGTGAGTCTATTTCCCTTACTACTTAATATGGTATGTAAACTGTAGTTTAATAAATTTCAGCATTTAAGAAAATAAAAATGAAAACAAAATATTGAGTGAGCAAAAGAGATTGAATTTTTCTGCTGAACATACAAGTTTACTTTCTAAAGATAGAATGGTCTACTTTATATCGTTTTCAATTACTTATAGCTCCACGTAACGAATTAGATGTGACTGGATACGTTTTCTTGCAAGGCTTATCATCTTTTATCTTGTTTCGTGACCAGATTCGTTAGACCGCAGAAAATAGCTTGTATCTAGATATATTGCAATCGTTAGTCGTTAGTTATTTATAGTTCCGTAGAATATGCGCCACTTCGTAACCTTGCAAAATACTTTTCCATCCGCCTGAATTGGATTTTATCATCAAATGGGTAAACATGTATATACATATATGTAGATGCGTGTCAAAGTCGGACACAAACAAAACACTTGCCTAATATTATATACCAGCTAAGCCAATAAGCAGCATGACTTTGAGTGATGTGGCACATATGCGGTCTTATGTTTATAATGGTGGAGAATCTTATCCTTATTGGTCATGTGGACCAACTAGGACCAACCTCGCCTTTTTTCTTGTTCTTCCAAATATATACTTTAAATTATATCAAAATGAAATAAAAGATTCGTTTCTCTAATAATAATTGAAAACATAATAACAAAGTTTTTGTTAATAGGTTTAATTATTTGATACGTTTATGATGGATTTAGGTCAGCAAACAAGACTTAGAGGACACGTATAATGTGCCATTCAAATCTTGTGTTTACGAGGGAAAGGTCGCTAGTGTTATGTGCTCTTACAACCAAGTAAACGGAAAGCCAACTTGTGCCGATGAAAATCTATTGAAAAACACCATTCGTGGTCAATGGCGTCTCAACGGGTAAGATTAAAAGTCATCATAATCAACAGTTCGGATTAATTTGGCACCTCTTCTCATACACCAGCTCAATAATAATGCATGCAGATATATAGTATCAGATTGTGACTCCGTCGATGTTTTCTTCAACCAACAACACTACACCACAACTCCTGAGGAAGCAGCTGCCGCCTCCATTAAAGCTGGTTAGTTGTTTAATTTTCCACCGTTGATGTTTGAATCCACAAGAACCATTTGATCATTTTGATAACAAAAATATCATGTCGTTTTACAGGTCTGGATTTGGACTGCGGGCCGTTTTTGGCTATTTTCACAGAAGGAGCTGTGAAGAAAGGATTGTTGACAGAGAACGACATCAATTTAGCACTTGCTAATACCATAACTGTCCAGATGAGACTTGGAATGTTTGATGGCAATCTTGGACCGTATGCTAATCTTGGGCCTAGAGATGTTTGTACTCCGGCCCATAAACATTTAGCCCTTGAAGCAGCCCATCAAGGAATTGTGCTTCTTAAAAATTCTGGCCGCTCTCTTCCACTCTCCCCTAGGCGCCACCGTACCGTCGCGGTGATTGGACCCAACTCCGACGTCACTGAGACCATGATTGGAAACTATGCAGGTGGATAAGATAGTCCAATAAAAAATAATTCGACTTACATATTATTTATCAGTTAAATAACATTGATTACTTTCTTTGTTTTGACAGGCAAAGCTTGTTCATATACGACACCGTTACAAGGAATCTCAAGATATGCGAGAACACTTCACCAAGCTGGTTGTGCCGGTGTGGCTTGTCGAGGGCACCAAGGATTTGGTGCGGCGGAGGCGGCTGCACGTGAAGCTGACGCGACGGTTCTTGTTATGGGACTGGACCAGTCGATAGAAGCAGAGACACGAGATCGAACCGGGTTGTTGTTACCAGGTTACCAACAAGAACTTGTTACACGTGTAGCTCAAGTTTCTAAAGGACCAGTCATTCTAGTACTTATGAGTGGTGGGCCTATTGATGTATCATTCGCTAAAAACAATCCACGTGTCTCTGCCATCATCTGGGCCGGGTATCCGGGTCAAGCGGGTGGTGCTGCAATTGCCAATATTATCTTTGGTGCTGCTAATCCAGGTATGTCATCTTGATCCAGTTACATACAATTATGATTTATATTCTTATAAACCAAAGTAAAATTTAGTTTTATCACATATCCGGATTAAAGATCATAAATGATCAGCTAATATTAAATCATTTATTCATGTTTTTATAGGAGGGAAACTACCTATGACATGGTATCCACAAGATTACGTAGCAAAAGTACCAATGACAATAATGGCTATGAGAGCATATGGAAATTATCCAGGAAGGACCTACAGATTCTACAAAGGTCCAGTGGTGTTTCCCTTTGGGTTTGGTTTAAGTTACACTACCTTTACTCACAGTTTGGCCCAAAGCCCATTAGCCCAACTATCAGTTTCTTCCTACAAACTCAACTCTGCCATTTTCAACTCCTCATCTAACTCTATCAAAGTGTCTCATGCCAACTGTGGAACGCTTCCTAAAATGCCTCTCCATGTCGAAGTGTCAAACACAGGTGAATTCGATGGAACCCACACGGTGTTCGTCTTTGCCGAGCCGCCTAAAAATGGGATAAAAGGTTTGGGTGTGAACAAACAATTGATAGCGTTTGAGAAGGTTCATGTCACAGCAGGTGCAAAACGGACTGTTCAAGTCGATGTTGATGCTTGCAAGCATCTTGGTGTAGTAGATGAGTATGGAAGAAGGAGGATCCCAATGGGTGAACATAAATTGCATATTGGTGATCTTAAACATACTATTTTGGTCCAACCGCAACTTTGAGGGAGGCATATATAATAAAAAGAAGCAACAAATAAGGAAACCTTTTCAAAGAAAGGGAATGTTTCCTCTTATTTTATACTTATATATAGAGAGAAATAGGTTATTTTCTTGAGAAATCACTCAAGAAAATGGTTCAATCCGCAAAGAAGCACCAAAGGGTCGCTTCTTGGATTTGTGTGTTTTTTATTTCTTCTATATTTTTTCGTTTGCATCATCAATTGTCAATGTTCCTGTAACTTTTGGCTCCCAAAATATAGAAAGATATACAAGGAGCCCTTGTAAAATGTTGAAACTAAGGAGATAAATGAAGATAAATGATAATTTGATATTTACAATCATTTATTTGATATAAAGTATTTCTTTGTTTTTCTTCTCGCTCTCGCAATGATGTTGTATGCGTGAATTAGCAATATCTTTGCAGATTAATGTCACATGGTATGATCATGTTGATGTGAGGTAGTGGTGACCGGTGTGACCATAGCTTTGTGGTAGGTCACTTAACGTTCGTAACCACAAAGCCTTGGGTTCGAATATTGGTCATCACCACTCTCCCCTGTTTCCTCCAATTATTCTTTGATTCAACATTAGAGGCATTCTCAAATGTCTTCTCTTTTTAAACCCCAAAAAAATGTTGGTGTGGTGGATGGGATTTTAAAAAAGTATTTTCATTCGTATATGAGTTTTAGGTTTGGTTTGAATAATAGGTTTCGAGATCCTCCCTTGGCTTATAGCAAACAACTTATTTCGTGTCTCGTCTTGATTAGATTACTTTTAGGTTTGATTTTTTTTTCTTCTCAATATGGTTTATTTTCATGTCAGTCAATAAATGGTTCAAAATAGACAAAGTAAAAACGCAAAAAGAGGGGGTTGGTGACTTGTACTCAACTGCTACAATATTCTCCTCTGTATTTTTGACTCTCTCTATACTAGACTAAACTCTACTTGCATCGATAGACACGTAAATAGATGTATGGAACTATATAAAATGAATTATACTAGTATGTTCTTGCGATCTCTAAAAATGGCGTTCGCACTCATGATAGACCTCCGGATATCAGTTACTCTTGTGGTTTTTTTCTTCCTTTTAGTTACTTTTCCAGGTTTGTAGTTCATTTTACATACCCACATTACTTCTGCCAAAAGTAGGCTTTCATTACTTTTTGTCTAAATTTGATAGGGATCGCTTACGGTGACGAAGACGATTCAGAAGGAGGTGTAGGTGGAGGGCCAGGGTTTGGCGGTGGTGGCACAGGTGTGGGAGGTGGAGGGATAGGCGGTGGAGGGCCAGGATTTGGCGGTGGAGGGACAGGTGTGGGAGGAGGAGGCATAGGTGGTGGTGGCACAGGTGTGGGGGGTGGAGGGCCAGGATTTGGCGGTGGTGGCACAGGTGTGGGAGGTGGTGGTACTGGATTTAGTGGCGGAGGGACGGGTTTTGGTGGAGGAGGATTGGGTGGCAATAGCGGTGGAGGGACAGGTTTTGGAGGAGGAGGAGGATTAGGCGGCGGCGGATTAGGTGGGAACGGTCCACCGGAGATAGTTGCAAAAGCTTTGGAGTGCTTAAATGAGAAACATGTAATATTTATTACTTGTGACACAAGAATCTGCGACCTTAAACCTAAATTTAAAAGCATATTTCGATTTTTAACTAAGTTATTCCAAGCTGGTTTATATCGGATTAGTTTAGTTTAACTGGATTGAGAATGCGTTTAAGCAATGTTCAAATGACTAGTCGATAATTAGATGTTTTATAAGGGATTAGTATGTAGACTGATTTCTTTTTAAAGTAGAAACATTGTTTTGTGATTTACACCGCGTAGACCCATTTTTAGAACGCTGCTTCTTTTAGTTTTAAATTTTGATATGACTGAAAATTTAAATTGATTATAATTTTTTTCACTCAAAACTCCCCAAATGAAAATGCAGATATACAAAGAGTGCGAGGATGCATGGAGGCTAACGTTAAACGGAGACCTGAACATCCCTGTGGCGAGGACGGAGGAGTTCTGCGAGGGACCATGCTTCTCCGAAACACATTTGGCTTTGAATTGCATTGGCGAGATTGTTCACCACTTCAGATTCTTCAACAGAGCCACCGTTTACAATATTCGTGAAACCCTCAAGTCCGGCTGTAGCTACGGACCTGAACGAGGTTTTGATTCTAGAGACCGTTTCTTGATCTGTTCTTTTGTTTCTTGTTTTAATGTTGAGTTAAAATTTGCATGCAGGCATTTTCAACGTTCTAGAGCACATCGAAGACGAAGAAAATGCAAGTGAGAGAATGCAGTTAAGGTCTGGACTGTTGCTTGGGACTGTGTCGTTCACCATTGCCTTGCTTCTTTAAGAGCTGTCTTTATGTTTAATCGTAGCTTTTATATGTTGCATATTTGACAATTACAATATATAAACCGATGTCTTTGTATCGATAGAGACTATCTAATCAAGGAGTACTTTTTATAATATATAGTTTCTTCTTTCTTGTTCAGAAAACAAAATTTGTGTTGTTTGTATTAAATTTATTTTACTAAAAGCCAGATTAGCGTTGTGATTAATTTTGTAGGTTCACAGTAATTTTAATATTTTACAATTTAAGATTTTAAGGAATTAGATTATTTAAAAGTCAGTCAAATTTCTTACCATTGGATCTACCATTCCCTCCAGGCTCCAACTGTGCTAAACTTTGAAAAGAGTTATATATAATTGTGCTGATACATTATTATATAACATCAATTAGCCAGATTAGTATGATTATAACTTAACTCTACTAACAAAAGTTACAAACTAGTGAAAGAAATAGGTCTAGATCTTTGTGTGTGTGTGTAAAAGAATATACCGCTTTTCAGTATTATAAATATTGAACGCATATTCGCTTGTATTAATTTGAGCAGCTACGTACACAGTCACTTGAATCTAAAGTACAATTGATTGGCAAGGGGTTAAAGATCCAACTTGTGTCCGCCTTTCAATTTTCATATGATCGTGATGTGCCTCACACATATACCAACTTATACCGACGTTTTCTCCTTTTCTTTGGCAAATCGTGTGAACGGTAAGTCGGTAACTTTAATTTGCTTTCGGCTAACTGTTAACTATTTTTTGAGGAAATATCCTACTATGTTTTTCATTCTCTTCTTAATTAATATAATGGGAAATTGGGTTTGTTCATATCATTGTGAATCTTTTTTTTTTTGTAACACTATCATTGTGAATCTTTGCGTGCCTATTTACCTTTTTTTCTAATTTGTATTTTTTCAAGATGGAAACAAAATGAAACCAAAATTTAATAAATTTGTCATTTGTGTGTTCCTAAATCTTAACTAATACAAATCCGCATAATCCTAGTTTTGCAGCATATAAAATTAATGCAATCAAAAGGTCAAACTGATCACAGAATGTAAACAATTACAGTTAGAGCAGTAAATTTTTTTTTTTGGTGAATAAGTCGATTGCATTGGTCATTGCATAACCTGATTTCTTTCATGTGTTTTTTTTCTGGCATTTCTGATGAGTATACTAATACTATAACATAAAAAGAGAACATACAGATTAGAGTTCCACAAATCATAAACATTTAGTTGTCTTGTTTGGTATTTACTATTGGAGTTTTCTTTTACAGATTTTAAACACACAAGAAAGAAATCATATATATTGTTCGTCACGAAAAGATAAATTATATATGATTTCTTTCTTGTGTTTTAAAATCTAAAAGACAAGACAATTTTGCTTTCTGGAGCTATGCAGTACAAGTGTATATGATATATGGTTACATGCAGGACATGTCGATGAATGAAATAGGTAGGGTTATTGATTGCTCAAGTGCTCATATGCTAGACAAAGCGTATTTATGTCAAAGCTCGGATTTATGTAAGTTGGTGAGAGGATCGCAGGATCCTTATGGACCTGCATGGCTATTAACCTCTCTCTTTACACATCTTATTTATGCCAACGGACCCTTACACATGGACCCAAATTAAATTTATATACAATAACTCCAATCAACATACTTTAAAAAAAAATACTAAACAATATATGTATATATATTATAGTATATTTAGATACCTGTGCATACTCTATAGTCTCTACCATTATATCTGAAAAAAGTTTCCTAGGATTTATGTTCATGAAAATTATGTAATAATATTCACTATTCAGAAGTACTGTTGTTCTAGTCATCTGCAAAAAAGAATGATGAGATGTAAGTTGTAGAACTTATAAAAAGTATATCACATGCATATAATCCAGTAAAAAGTAAATATATTTTTTATCAACAAAAATATACTGTAATGAACTGAAAATCGGTGAACATTTAATCGACTGGATTGTTTTGTGAATCTTACAATGAATAGGTGAAGGAGAGAGAGAGGAGGGAGAGAAAAAAGGAAACAAATGTGAGAGACAAAGGACAAAAAGAATTTAGAGCAGAGCCTTAAATGGCAAAGCTTTTGCTCGTTGTTACTAAAGAGACTCGTGATGTCTACGTGACTGGCTAGTATATAATGCCATCCGTTTTTTTTGGTAAAATATTATAATGCCATCCGCTGCCATTATATTAATTGAGAAACATTTGAAAAATTGTAAATTTAAGTTTGTATTAATTAAAAAATAATCATATCCTACATGACATCTTTCTATGTTTTCTATTTTTATTTAGAAAGATTTTTAAACACTTCATATAAATCATAGTTTTAAAACATGATCAGTTGGTCTCATATAATACACTAGGATAAGACCTGTACCTTGTGCAGGGTGAATATATGTAATTAAAATATAAAATTTTAGTATTAACAAATTTAAAATTTACATATGATTGTTTTTGTTAGTATTTGAAATTTCAGAATTTTGAAATTTTTATATAATTATCTATATATAGGATCAGAAACAATTTTAGTTAGAAATGTAGATCAGATCTTAGAATTTAATGGATCTGATTTCATATATCTTTTTCACTTTTCAGTGTTCGAGTGATGGAACATAAATGGAGTGTCACTCGGCTTGATTGGTAGAGTATTAGAAAGTTCCCTAATGTTTTTTAAGAAGCAATTGGTAAAATATTTGCATTTAAAATATATAAAGTTTCAAAACTAATTTAATATAATTTATTTATCTGTCTAATAATATTATAAAATTATATTTTTTACAAATTCTTATTTTTAAAAATAATTTATAAAAATTTATGTTAAATTTTAAATTATTTTTAAAAACAATATTTTAAGTTTTTTAAATACAAATAAAAAATTTAAAATTAATTATGGTCATGATTTAACATAACCATAATGATTTAAAAAATTAAAAAATTAAAAATTAACAAATTAAAAATTAACTCAGTTTTATATCATGATTTAATAATTTAAAAATTAATTATGGTTATTAGAAGTTTACGTTCACGTATCAGTCCTATTTATCTTCCATTTTTCTCTTGCTATGTTATTTTATATTTTGGTTATTACTGGATATAAATATTTATTTTTAATTTATTCTCATTTCTTTTGTTTTAGAAAATACTTAAGATTTAAAATAATTAAAGAGATACATAATTAGGTTAAGATCTGCACTTTATGAACAATAAGTATTTTATATTTATTATTTATTTATATCTTTCTGCATATTATAAATAATAAAATAATAAATATATATTAAATAACTAAGAAATCAGTTACTATTATGTAATAAATTGACGTATGCATATAATTTTAACTATTACTCTTGTTTATTCACAATTAGGGTAAATAAATCAAAATAATCAATCTTATATATTGTATATGATATATAATTAAATTTAAATGATATAAACATAGTAATATTACAGACTTTTAATATGGATATTTATTAAATGAGGTTTCTACTCATATGATTTTATGATTATTTGCATATTTGTGTAACAAAACTTTACACCAACGATTTTTTTTTAATTTGAGATGTTTAGTAGTTTCAATAATTTATAATCATTTTAAAAAAACAATGACATATTTCAAAATTAAAATATTAACTTTTCAATATATGTTCAAGGAAAATATCAAAATATAAATATGTATTTTCATACGATGTATAGTTTAAATAAAATGATATTAAATATATATAAACTAAAATTATTTCTTCATATGGTCTTATAATCATTATATTTTAGTATAGAAAAAAAAATTAAAACCTTGATCTTAAAAGTTTATGTGGGACTTTTAACAGTTTTAGTAATTTATACTCATTTTGAAAAATTCGAAATACAACATACACAAAAAAAAAATCTAGATTTTTATTATATGATTAATGTAATTGTGTAATTTATTTTAATAATAAAGAAATAAACAAAATGAAGAAAAAGTATACAGATTGTTATCAAATTTTTATTGTTTAAAATCATTAATTGTCATATATATATTTTGATCACATTAGGTAGTTCCGTAGGTTTTATTTAAGGAAAGTATGCGAAACAATAAATATTTGATATATGCGACCAATTATAGCTTATGGAATATTATACTGCTAGAGAATATAATTTTTAAACTATACATTATATCACATGCTCTAGAATCCTTAAGATTTGAAATAGAAGCCAAATAGCTATGCCACGTAGGATTGAGGTTATTTTTAATTCTTATAAACTTAAGGTTACCACTTTTTAAATGATTCTCAAATAATATATAAGGGATATTAAACAAATAACATATCAAACTAAATCTCATATATATTCTTTCCTTAAATAAAATCTACGAAATTACCTAATGTAATTAAAATATATATGACTATTAATGATTTTAAATAATAAAGGTTTGTTAACAATATGTATACTTTATATCATTTTGTTTTAATTTTTTATTATTAAAATAAATTACACAACTACACTAACCATTTAATAAAATTTAGATTTTTTAATATATGTTGTATTTTGCAATTTTCAAAACGAGTATAAATTACTAAAACTTTTAAAAATCTCACATAAACTTTTGTGATCAAGGTCTTATTTTTTAATAATAAATTACAATGATTATAAAATCATATGAATAAATAATTTTATTTTAATATGTGTTTATGTTATATATATATATCATATCATATGAATAAATAATTTTATTTTAAACCTAATTATAATTTAAAATTTAACTTAATTTTTTATTAAATTATTTTTTATTTAAAAATGTTTTTAAAAATATTATTTTTTGATATTATTAGACAAATAAATAAATTAATATTAAATTAGTTTTGAAACTTTATATATTCTAAATGGAATATTCTATCAACTGATTCTTAAGAAAGCATTAGAGAATTGAATACTGCTCTACCAATTAAGTCATGTAACACTCCGTTTATTTTCATCACTCGAACACTGAAAATTGAAAAGATATATGCATCAGACCAATTAAATTTTAAGTTTTGATCTATAGTTCTAATTACGGTTGTTTCTGATCCTACGTATAGATAACTTTATAAAAATTCTAAAATTTCAGTTACATATAAAAACAATCATATATAAATTTTAAATTTGTTAACATTAAAATTTTATATTTTAATTATATACACTCATCATGCACAAGACGCATATCTTATTCTAATTATTTTGTATTTGATTAATTATGGCCATATAGAATTTTATGTTTACTCATGATGCGTATGCGTGCGAGCCTAGCACAGTAATTTACCGTTATCTATTGAGTTCTTATAAAATAATTGTAACTAGTTGACGGATTTTTTTTGTTTTTAATGGGACGTGTAACTACACCGAAAGTACAATTCAATTGAACTATATGTGATTAATCTATGCGTATGTGCAGAACGCATACTCCTCGTGCTCCATCCACTCTATGAAAGTTCACTTCACAGGCTACAGCTTACCACATTTGGAGGCAACAACATCCTTCACAACAACACCTCACTCTGGCCTACATCCATTTTCAAGCTCATCGACAGAGACATCCTCATCATCATTACTTCCTGCCAACAATCAAAAATTTCCACGACTTATGATGCTATGGAGTAGATGATCTCAGTCATTTACATTCATATATTAGAGCATCCACAACCGTGAGACTCATAGGATTCCTTAAGAAAATGATATTTTGGATTTGGTAAAGATATTTCGGAATTAAAAAAAAAAACCATTCACGAGCTGCCACGTGTCCTGAGAACCGCAAATAGTGTAAGAATTCGTTAAGAGTCCTTATTTAGGAATTTTAAGGATCGAATCCTTAATTTTTATGGGATCTATTAATTATTTAATTTTTTTTTCTCTAAGAACTCTCCTCTAAGGACTTCTATTGAAGGTGCTTTTATTACTTCTTTTTATTTTATTCTATTTTATTATTTGCCAAGAAAGTAGTCAAATTTCTTTACCATGTAAATCTTCAAACCTTTTTTACCAAAAAACCCCTCAAACCTTCATTTTCAATGACATTTACAGTTTAGCAAAAAAAAAAAAAATAATACATCTATTTGTTTTCTCTGTCACGATAGAATTGTACTCATTATGTTTCAGAAAAACATAAAGGTTTCGAAAATTTTGTTTCAAAAATAGTTGTTTCATGTTTTCTATGCATTTATTAGTTAATAATGATAAATTACAAACCTTTAAAAACATGTATACTTATTATGATACTATGGTTTAACATTATTGAAAAATCAGTGAACACGAAAATAAGACATTTATTATCAAAGTTTAATATATTTTTAATTTGTGTAAGAAAACACATCAACATACATGTCTTTTAGAAATAGTTGGAGTATGTTTTGTCGTTTGTTTTCCAAACCCATATATAAGCTGAGCTGCCAAAGCAAAAACAAAGGGAAAAAACAAAGATCACGCAAATATAGGAAAACGTACGATTAACAGCAAACTGAGAAAAAGTATAAGCAGTACATATGGACCAAAAGCTCAGGAAAGTCGTTGGAATCCACCTACTTTCTGAATGGTACATGAATTAACAAGATCCATATGTAACCATTATTCAACAGTTAAACTAACAAACAATTATGGCCTACCACAAATCAATACATGACCACTCATGAATATGGTCCAAGATCTTCCACATAAACGTCTTCCTATAAACATAGCCCTTCTCGCCGACTCTACTAGCCATAGACGTGTTCGTTCCATTGACTCTTGTTCAAAATTGTATACGGTATAGCACTAATGTTGTTTGTCCTCCTACCAATTTCTTATTTGGACCCGTCTACATAAACGGTTTTATATTTGTACACACTGATTTATTATACTCTTAAACAGTGTTTTTAACTTAAACAAATGAAGACCTCTTGTATATTTAGCGCTTCAAAACACATTCATTAAATGCATATACAAGTAGGTGTATTCATACAGCTACATGACATGTACATGTATATGCAAGTACGTATGTAGGTATATACATAGTAATAAATATCTTGTAAGCACGGAAAAGGGTAGAAAGAGGGACCAAAGGTTAGAAGGAGAGGTACGTGGTGCGATAGTTTTGAGGATGTACACATTACATAACTTTTAATTCCACCGCAACGTGGTTCATTCCTTCACCGATCCTACGTCATTTTCAAACCTTAACTCTCTCTTTCCCTTTTGTCTACTCTCTATATAATCACCTGGATGATTTCTCCTTTTCACTCACTCACCTTCTCACACTCAAGGGTCCAAAAAGTGCTTTTTCTTTCTCTTTTGGTGTTCTTTCTCTTCTCTTTTTTTTGAGAGAAGAGATGGGAAGAGCTCCGTGTTGTGAGAAAATAGGACTCAAGAGAGGGAGATGGACTGCCGAGGAAGATGGGCTCCTTACTGACTATATCCAAACCAATGGTGAAGGTTCTTGGCGGTCTTTGCCTAAGAAAGCTGGTATGTATATTTTTAAATATCCAGCTTTTTAAAAAAAAAAAAAAAAACATGATCCATAACGTAATTAAACGAATAGTTAAATGTTCAAAAAAAAAAGAACGACTAAATCTTTCAGATTGGTATACAAGCTAGTGACCATGACGTTTTCTCTCTTCAGTTTAACTGGTTTCTTGAATTATGACTTGTCAAATATACTAAAAACGGAAGCACGTTTTTGATGCATAAGAAATGAAAATGTGCAAATTTATAAAGGAACTTGTGATTTTATATATTTGATTGTAAATACTAGTTAACAAAGGAGCAAATTAAATGCTTTCAGCATATACATGGTCTAATAACAATTGCAAAATGTGAAGGACTGTTGAGATGTGGAAAAAGCTGTAGACTAAGGTGGATAAACTATTTGAGAAGGGACTTGAAAAGAGGAAATATAACAGCCGAGGAAGAAGACACCATCGTCAAGTTGCATTCCCTTCTCGGCAACAGGTAACAAACCAATTTAATGCACGTCAACATCGTTCACAGATTTACATATTACACAATTTATACGTAACTCAGAACTTCGTATTGTATTACAATTTTGCCACTGTTTGATTTGTGACTTAGAATTACTTGCATGCAAAGAAAAAAAGAAAAAAAAATTATTTGCATGTATAGAAACATATAGAAGTGGTGTGAGTCGGGTGACAAGTCTCCGGTCCAACGGTTCAAAAATAAAAATGAGAAAAACGGAGTGATCAAGATGATTAAATGTGATGTCAAAAAAAAAGAAGAAGATGATTAAATGTACTGTCCTGATCTTGTGACCATCATAACAATGCAGCGGTAACCAAATTGATTGCTCTAGTTAATCTTGTCTCATGTGTGTACGACCACGATTGTAACTGACTCTCATACCACTGTCAGTGGTTGATGAGTCGTTGTAGGAACGTTCCAACCTTTTATAAAAAAAAATTATGTACACACATAACTAACTATATACCTTAAAAAAACTATATACCTTGTATACATAATACATTATCAATTAACAAAAAAATATTATCTATATAATTTGTGAAGAAAAACAAATTGGTTTTGAATTATTAAATTGATTTGTTTAAATTTATATTCTCGCTCACGCGTTGCTTTGTGCTTAACTTTTTCTTTTGTGTAGATGGTCGCTTATTGCAACACATCTACCAGGAAGAACAGACAACGAAATTAAAAACTATTGGAACTCACATCTCAGCCGCAAAATCTACGCTTTCACTGCGGTCACCAAAGATGGGCAGAGTCTAAACGTCGATGATTTATTAGCCCTAAATAAATCCGCTTCTTCTTCCTTGGGAGCCAAGAACACGAACAAGACCAAGAAGAAGAAAGGAAGAACTAGTAGGTCATCCATGAAGAAACACAAGCAAATGGTGACGGCCTCACAATGTCTCCCGCAACCGAAAGAGCTAGAGAGTGAGATCAGTGAGGAAGGGAACAATGTTAATCTCGAAGGAAAGTCTTTGGGGGCATACGAGTGGTTGGATGGTGAGATAGAGCGGCTCATGAGTAGTTTCGTCTGGGAAAGTACTAGTGAAGAGGCTGTGACTAGAGTGAATGATGATGACTCTGATCAGAACAAGGTGTGTGAGAGTGGGGACAATAGTAGTTGTTGTGTGGATCTGTTTGAGGAAGAGCAGGGAAAGCTTGGTAACCTAGAGGTTGATCACAATATGAATATGGAGAAAGACATAGAGGGGAGTGTTTTGAATTCGAATGCAAATGAAAATAGTGATAAAGAATGGTGGGTTGGTCTGTGTGATTCTTCAGAAGTTGGTTTTGGGATTGATGATGAGCTGCTTGGTTGGGAGTTTCAAAGTGGTTTGGATTGTCAAAGTGATGATCTCTGGGATCTCTCAGATTTTGGAGAAATACTGCAAGTGGATAGCAAATGAGACTGCATATAACAAAAAAAAATCGATCTTTCGATTGTAAAGTCTAGTGTTTGTTTGGTTATAGTGGGTCTTGAGGTTGTGTATTAGCTTGCTGGAGTGTGTTAGGGGAGTTAATTAGGATATATACAGCCTCTAGTTTACACCAGTTTGAAGCACAACGTTTGTTTTGTCGTTACTTTCACTCTGTTTTGTTGTTGTTTGTAGTGTTTGGTTTGTTTGTTCGTTTTTGTGTTCCATTGATAATTTTATGAAACAATAATGTATATTTGAAGACTTTTGTCACATGATACTGAAAGTGTAAAAGAACAAGACAGTTGGCACTGCTAATAAATGTGTAATAATATATAACAAGTATTTTTTATTTCAATTTTTTTTTTAAATCCTTCGACAATTTATTCATTCTGTGTTTATATATTTTAGATCCAACAAAAGAAAATAGAGTTTTCTATGTATTACCTTAATAATATATAACAAAATTTTTATTTACTTCAATAAAAAATTTAAAAGCTTCTTCGACAATTTATTAATTATGTATTTATATAGTTAGATCCAACAAAAAAAATAGAGTTTTCTATGTATTACCTGAAAAGTTAAAAGAGGCATGTTATCTCTTTTGTTGATGTGTCAAGATTATATAATTTGCCATATGGGCCATATCATGTGACGCAATTTCTTATTCTTTCGTTTGCGGTCTAACCGATCAACTTCAAACCAATTCTCAGATAAATCTTATGAACTGAAATATTTTCCTACTCCTAGATTGCTATATAACGCAATTTTAGACAAAGTGCTGGGCTGGAAAGAAAAAAAAAAGTGTTAAATTACCGACTTGAAATCCAGTAAGACAAAGTAAACGGGTTCATTGTTCAATTATTTATACACACACACACAAACATAAACGGTAGGGTCTAACCCAAAATGATGATTTATAAAAACATTGTTGGTAATTGGTATGGTTCTGTTATTTGGGCCCATCACAAAAATTAGGATCCTTAAATCCATACCCGATTTGAACTTCTAAGGTTTTCAATGTAGCAACCGGTGAGCAAATGCAGCAAACTAAACCAAAATAGCGTTTGACTAGGTGCGGAGAGTGTGGGATAGAGTTGGTGGGGCGTCCAAACTACCTTTTCACTCTAAATACTCTAAACTGAAAAAGAGTTAGAAGATTTGATTGTATGGACAATGAGTAGCTTCTTGACTTTCAGAAGCTGCTATTCCAAATTGTCTGGTATTATAGTCTTGGCACTTAGGCAAGTTGGCAGTTATAATGGAACATGAGCAATTTGATCTTTGGGCACATGTGAATCATGGGTGTTCATTACTTCTATATATACATCATAAGAAGTTGTATGGTTTTTTTCTTTCAGTAAAAAAATAGATGTCATGATTTAGGCAAACCACTTTATGCTAGTGTTTTTCAAATTTATATCTTTTCTGTATGTATTTAATTTTTTTTTTTAAATTTTTTTTTAAAATTTTTTTTTTGTAACTGAAAAAAAAACTTGTTGTGTGTGTGCATTTAATCTACTTTGCATTCATTATCGAATCATCACTAACCCTTCCATATAACACTTAACATTATGCTAGTGATTTTAAGCATCCAAAATCAGTTGAAAATTTTTAGATGATAATAGAAAGTTGCAAAAATACGAATATGTTGTTTTCGTGGTATTTTATGATTTTTTCATAGCTATTTTGAAATTACTATAATTTGATCCCATGGTTATACAAATGGTTTTTTACTAGTAATGGATCATTTGTAGAATGTGTCATGTAAATGACACCACTCAGAAGTGAAATGTTTTCCTTAATATGAACAATGCAATCATATTACTAATTGAGGTATTGTATAGTGATTTTTCATAGGAAAACCTAATTACCAATAATTTTCTTAACAATGACAATGATAATGCCAATATCTGACTCTAAGATTATGTTGCAACAATTCAAAAATTGGAAAATAATATTCTCATTTAGAAATTGTTCATGTCATAAACTTGTCAAAACAACAGTCATATCACTCCAATGGAATTTGTACAATGCTTGTCCAATTTTCTTAATAGACTTATAAACAGTGGCAATATTTCATAAAATACAAAATTTAGCTCGCAAGAAAACCTTAAAATAATAGTAAACATATCTAGGTATATGTCCATAAAAACATGTAACACATGTTGATCAAAAGGTCTTTTCCTTGAGTTTGGGTTGTTTGATATTAAATATTTCATTTTTTTAGCAAGATAATAAGTATATAAAAAGAAAACTGAAGTGGAACCTTCTAATACTATATAGCAAGAAAACTGATAATTTGCAATAAAACATTTGCGTCATGTTTTAATCTTATTTTATATTTGTAGAAGGTTTAGTCTCTACAACATATATACCAAAAAAGGCTTCAAATTCTACACACTTTTGAATTTCAGTCTCGTCACCGAAATTTCTTATATTATTTCAAAAAGTCTGTTGAATGAGATAAAATAAGCTCCTGAGCCAGAAAACTGTCACATCATAAACCAGAAAACCAATGTTGCAAAAAAGTCAAGCCCCACTACAATGACCGCCACCTTTATTTTATATCATTTAAAGATTCTCTTTTAATTTCCTCAAACCTACTTGCTCTGTTGTTAGTCGACGCAACCGCCACGAGATAAGCTCACAGTAGAACCGGGACCAGGTGCACTATCGTACTTTGCTTCGCCATAAGATGCAATGACGCGTTTACCCCGACATCCGCGTTTTTTCGGTGCTTTATTACAAGACCTTTAGTTAAAAGGTTAATGTGTGGGCGTCATCTTTTCTTCAGTTTCACTATTCATTTCTTTATTTATTAAACACCTTTTTCTTCTGTAACAAAAATATATATATTTTTTTAAAAAAGAATCATCGATAAAAAGAAGAACACTCCTCTTCTTGAATGTGCTTCTTCTTGTTCTTTCTTTCTCACTCTCTTATCTTCTTTACCTCTGTAGATTTCAACACTTTAAACTGAGTTTCTGAATATCCAAATCTCTGACAATGGAAGCAAACTTGTTGTCTACACTTGTTGCTATTCTGCTACTGTCAGTGACTTCGACAGTGACATCAAAGGACGAGGTTGTTTCCTGTACAATGTGTTCTTCCTGCGACAATCCTTGTAACCCCATCCAATCATATCCTCCTCCTCCACCACCTTCCCGTCCACCACCGTCACCATCAACAACCACCGCATGTCCTCCGCCTCCTTCTCCTCCGAGCTCCGGCGGAGGCGGTGGTGGTGGTGGTGGCAGTTCTTACTATTACCCTCCTCCTTCACAGTCCGGTGGCAGCAAATACCCTCCTCCATACGGTGGTGACGGTGGTCAAGGTTACTACTACCCTCCGCCGTATTCAGGAAACTATCCTACGCCGCCTCCGCCGAATCCGATAGTCCCTTATTTCCCGTTTTACTATCATACGCCACCACCAGGTTCTGGTTCATACAGGTTTATGAGTTCTTATTCTATTATGTTTGCTCTTTTCGCCATCTTCCTATGTTTAGTGTGACGGGAATATCGCCGGAAAATTACGAAGAAAAATCAGAATAATGTGGCAAGATCGGTAGATCTACAATTGTCTTTGAAGGATTTAGATATCTTTGATCATGGTGGCTCAAATGATTATCTCTTACTTTCTTCGATCTGTCAAAACTTTTTTTCTTTTCTTGACAATTTGTATTTACACTTTTCTTGTTAATTAACATTTTAATTACTCGCTATTTAGAAATAAATAATTGTTACTTTCCATGCACTATCTTTTTACACTCCATTTTACCACTATTTTGTCGGTCGAGCTTTTATTTGTGCTGAGAATACAATTTATATCCCATTATTCGTTGATTAAATAATCGTGTCGTTTTTGACGAGCCCAGGGTTATAGTAAACAATTACTGTAACGATATCTATTAATCAGCTAAGTTCACGGCCACTTGTTTCTGTTTAATCTTTGTACTATTAGTTTATACTATGTATCACATGTGATTGTCGTTAAACCAGAATATGCCTTCTTCTTTTTTGATAATTAAAACCAGAATACACATTATTTCAATAATTGTGAAATAGAACCGTTGGAAATTCGAAATACACACATGCATAAAAATATTATGGCCAGCTTTGCTCCAACACATATCTATCCGTTTTCTAATTATAATATTCCTCTTTTGTTTCGGTGAGACCGGGGAAATTTATACGTACATGGCTTTTAGCAACACCATCACTAATGTTTTTGCATCATTATTCCCATTCAAAATGATGCAAAATTTTAAATAAGTTTGTGTTGTTTTAATGGCTTACCACATTTCCTTCAATTCTTAATAACTTGTTATATATTGCAAAAAACACATTTTTATATACTTTTTAATTTATGTTTTAAATTTTAAGTTTTTTTTTAAAAAAAAAATTTAAATTTTAAGTTTTACATTAAAATCTAACTTTATCAAAATAAACTATTATTACATTAACAAAACCGAATAACCACATCAACAATACAATAGAGATTTGTGTAATAAGTTTAATCAATATTAGTACTATATCTTTCGCATAAATAATGTTCTATGTTGTGCTAGGTTTGTATGAGATTTTTAACAAAAGTTATATTAGTATATATTTTGAATGTTACTGTTTATTATTTATTAAATCATTATTAAACTATAAGTTAAATAAGTTTAATCATTGGGTATTTATATTAGAGAAAGTTTTAGAAGGAATATTTTGTTTATGCACAAAATAACGTTTTATCATAAACTGAGAGATTATTCTGCAAAGAAAAAAAATTTAACATCAAAATAATATATTATTGAAAAGAGATTTTTCTCATTTTTAATGTTTTATTTTATTTTGATGTATCATTGAAGATGCTTGAACTTATTAAATAATCAATAAAACCTACATATAACATTAAAATATGAATACCCAAAATAAAGAGAGATACTGTATAGATAGTGGCAGTTAATCAAAAAGCAACAGTGAGACAAAGATGAATATTCTGTCTATAATAATTGGCATCATTATTTAGTTGTTTTGTTGAATGTAGGCCTGAGTTTGGGCCTCTTGGTAGGAGCATGGGTATAATGTTGCAGACACTTTGATTTAGTTTTGGGGCATTCTAGACTCAAACCAGTTAGTGGTTGATGGGGCTCTCTATGGATTAGATTTCATGTACGAAAGTCCAGCTTTAGCATTCATTATCCACAAAACAAAATATTTCCAAAATATGTTTTGAGATGAATTTTAGCTACACATTTTGTGACTTAGCATGAAATTTATGTGGCGAAAACAACATTTTCAGCAACTTTTGTTTGTTGGTAAATTTTTTTATAAAATTATGATATACTATGGGCATAATTTATAAATGTCATGTCTCTTTCTTATTAATCAGATACTATATAGGGATCTGTATAATAAGATTAAGATACAATTTCATAAAAAAGAAAGGCATCACCGAGATTTTTTAGTGCTTTTATGTTTATTCAACCTTTAGACTATATTTAGATCATCATTAGTACTTACCGGTCAATCTTGTTTTGGCGCAGCCAGATTTCTTGGTGGTAATCCCACAGAATAAATAAAATATCTGTAGAATATAATCTCCAAGAATCTTTAAATAATTTCAAAACTCTTCGAGCATCTTTACAGGGATTTCTTCTGAACCCCTATATAAACCCTCGAGGACATCTCCCATCTTTACACAGTTTTCTTTTGAACCTCTCTCACTTCTTTCAGAAAGCTCGAGTCCATTTTCTACGTTTCCAGCTAGCTTTCTTTGTTTTCTATGTGAACGGTCCCATGTCGAATTATTTAGAAAAAATCTGCGGAATTTTCAGTCTCCATGTAAATTTCGCATGATACAGAAAGGACGGGTCAAGTAATGATCGATAGGTAACCATGATCATCATGTTAATGATCAATAAACTATCGTGAATACGTTACCTTACTTTTATTTTTGATGCTAAGAACGTATAAGAAAATATATTATTCCATTTGCAAGAATGGTTAAGGGTTTTCTCGATCCCAATTCTGCGTTCTTCTGCCTTTTATGTTTGTTAAGTTTCTTTTCAATTTTTGGTCTCAAGTTGACGAACTTGAATATTTCAGTGACTACATTTGTTATGTATGAACCATTTTTTAGCTTGGAGTAGAAAACCATATCATCTTATAAATATTTTATTTGGGATTGTTGTAGCGTGCGTCTGATTATGGAGATTTAACACTTTTATTAAAAAAAGTCACCATTGATAACGCAGCAACCGAATCTCTATGACCAGATTTTTAAGATGAAATCTCAAAAGACTGCATGGATTGGTTAGTTACCGTACTTTTGTATATTGAAATTTTTTTCGTTTACTCTTTTTTCAAGACCCTGATTCTGTTTTCATTTTGGGTCTAAAATGGACGGAATTTTAATCATTTTCTACTTTCCTTGGACAATATATCAATTTTTTTTTGTTTTAGTTTGTAACTATTGTATGTATAAGGTTTGTTGTAGCGTCCAGTTAACCGTGGAGATGAGCAAGCATATTTCGTCAGTATATTGTTGGCAATCTCATTACGGATAAAGAAACATGCCGGAACTTAATGACCGGATGTGGACACGAAATGTTTAATATTTAGAGTCGATGTCCGGAGATGTAACAAGTTTACGGCTTTGGAGGTATAGTCTAAACTCTAAACCAAAGAAGGGTTTATGTAAAAAATAAAAATTAATGCCAAAACTTCTTTGTATCTATTTGGATCAAATTTAAGATTATTTTTAGTGACAGAAAATATGTAATTTAATTATTTTTGCCAAGAGTTGTATGCAAAAAAAATTTGAATTTTTTTTTTTGGCAAGATGTATGCAAAATATTACTAGAGACTTACGTTATATTAGGTTGTAATTTTGTTAAAGGAGTGTTAGTTCTTCCACTGCCGAGGAAATAAAAGAAAGCTTGAGATATCTGAGCCTTTATAATTTTATTAGGGGTTGTTTTTGATCCTTCCCAGAGTTTATTTTTAATCGGCTCTTTGGTTTATTGTGGTCGTTTATCGCTTGTTTGTACAGTCTTCTAAATACAGTGTTAGATGAACTTTTTGCAAACTAAACAATTAGAAAACTTGTGAAATATTATCTATTTAGATTTGAAACTGTTTTGGTGGTTTCCAATCATTAATAGCTATTTAAGCACAAATCAAAAGTGGAAGAAGAATGTTTGCATATATTTTGAATTTTGAACATGGATGTTTTCCTTTAACTTATATCTGCGCAGATACAAAGCAAGGAATGGGCAAAGTTAATCAAAAAGAGAAGAGTTTGATGAGTACATTTAAAAGGTATGAGCTACAACGACAACATGTTAATTAAATACTGAAACCACTGACAAAAGCTTCAAGTTATTATTCAGTGTGAGTAGATAAAGCAACACGCATCACTAGCAATCCCTATAAAAAAAAGCATCACCGAGAATTAATATAAACTCTAACCCCTAGAAAGTATATAAACCCTAGAAAATGGCAAGAAACACAAGCAAAAAAAAAGTCATTAACTAGAATGCATATAAAACTATAAACCCTAGAAAGTAATAAGATCAATACTAGACTCTATGGTCTGACTTATCTTCTTTTTGTAAGTCGATTTTCATGCTTCGCCCTGATCTTGACCCATCTTATCCCTTCTTGCAGATCCCGAACTTGGATCAGCTTCAAGAAACCTATTCTCATTTGTTAGGTTAGCCTGTTGCTGTTCATGGGATAACACATTTAGTCCACTTACATCCACCATTGTTATAGTTTCGTTCTGTATACAATACACACACACACAAACACACAAAAAGAGAAAAGATATGAATCTGCATAACATCTATTAAGGAAAATTAATCTAAGAAATATAAGCCGTGGTCACCTGATCAAGAAAGGGATTACATGTGAGAGATGAAGGAAACGAAGGTATATGTATCATGGACGGCTCTTGAACGTACATCAGCTGTTGTGGATCGGGCGCTATCTGAATATCGCTGAAACGCAATGCAGTCTCTATCACTGGATCCTGATCTAAGTTGAAATCCATCTGTTCCGAGTTTGGCATGAGCCAGCTAGGTAAGATAATATCTTCCTCTCCCTCGTTCAAAACAATTCTTTCGTTTATGATCTGGCCATTGCATGTGAACTCTGGGACTTGATGAGGAATGTGATGTTGGTGAGTTCTCATGAGATTATCATGATGATTTCCAAGAGGTGATATGCGTTGCGTCATGAGATTAAGGTTTGTGTTCTGCGGTTGTACAGAAGATGGTTGAGGAATGTTGTTGATTTGATGTATCGGGAACTGGACATTCCCTTCTCCACTAGACATCCCTCCTTGTGCGGTTATTAAGGATCGATTTCTCTTGCTTTTTTTGTTTTCATCACCCGGCTTCTTCTGACTCAAGCGGAATTTCTGTACACTCAATTTAACAGAAAAATATATATTAGTGTTATACATGTGTAAACAAAATAAGGATGAATTTCCAGTACTTATTTGATTTGTTAGTATTCTTTAGTTGTGTTATTTTGATGTGTTTGGTTCCAATAATCATCTAGATATATTCACTATAACACAACTAAAGAATACTAACAAATCATTTTATTTTGAGTCATGGTACATTTAGGATCTCAGGAAGTTAGAATAACATCCAATCATTCCTATCTTTCTGTTATTTTGTATCTTTGAGATCCCAAATGTACCATGACTCAAAATAAAATGAGAGACAATCTTGCAAGCGATTCACGGAGTCTATCATTCTACTTTGTCCACATAAACAGAAAATCTCATGTTTAATTAGATAAGTCTTAATTGAATCTATTAGTGCTTACGAAAACAAAATTCATCAATCACAACTATTTAGGTGGCAGCAATAGCCGAAGAGACAGAAGACGTAGCTGCTACCAAAGACTAAAATGTCACTAGGAACATGTACGTACTAAATTGTCACTAGGAACATGTACATGTTACAAAAAAAAACTATAGGGGTCGTCAAGTGACCGCCTTCTCACGCAGAGGCTTTCACCCCTGTTTCTCTCTATTTATCTCCTAATATTTCTTGATAAGTATGTTAATTTCATTATGAATAATGAACAAAAATACAAAGTATTTGCATTTACTCCGCTAGAAACTAAGTATTTCTTCTTCTTTTTTTTCCATAGTGGTAAAAATTTATAAGTTTAACCAAAGCCCATGAAGAACTAAAGCTAAAGATAAGCAGAAAAAGAGAAGCAAAGCCAATGTATGAACTCTAGTAGGCGAACAACACCTATTAGCCATCAGGATAGAGACTGTCCTGAAAGAAGCTCCATACATCGATAAGCGGAGGATGTTAGGGGTCCCTGCCCTAGAGACTTCAAGGGGGGGGGGGGGCATTCCGAGGTTTGAACTCCCGACTTTAGCCACAACACAAGAAGAGAATCTCGAGGGAGACACTGTCAAAAAAACTCAATCAGAGAAAGAGACCAGCCAGTGTCGGTTTCCTTCAAGAGTTAGAGTGCAAGGGAGTCGGGAAAGGCATCTCAAAACAAACGAAAAACTTCAGTAAATAGAGATGAAAAAGTCTCTTACATCTCCAAAGAGGGTAAGTATTTGGAACCAAAAGGAGACACATTCGCAACAAGAATGTCCAAATTTGACCACTGAGAAAGATAGAGGAAAAGGCAAGAGGCTAAGGAGACAGAAACAGGGAAATAGAGAGAGGAAAGGTGGTAACCGTTGACGAGAGAGAGCCACTGGTGGAGGCAAGAGAAACAAGAACTTTGGTAGAGAGATTTTATAGAGTATTTGAGCCTAGCTCTTTACTCTTTTCATCTCCTATCATCTTTACTATATAAGACTTTTACTGCAAACCACCAATTGGGAACAAATAAATACAACAGTTTGTGCATGCTCATTCCGTGGCTAATCAATAGACAATATAGCTAACTTGTCACTGATTTGTACCTAATATATCCCTCCTGGCTAAGTGAGCAAATAAATTTCTTTTTACTACGCCCTTTTGTCTATGGCTCCTTAACACATTTAATAAAAAGAAACCATAGTCAAAGGAGTGTAATACCTAAATTTATCAAACTCTCCTACGCCTTACTGAGTTCATCAGAATTCAATCAAATTGTTAACAAATCACCCAAATAATGCCACACTAGCTAAGGAATTGATCACATTTGGCAAAAGAATTAGCCATTATCTAGCTACGAAAGGCCGTGATTTAGCCTCTATGAGTATTCTTGGATGAACTCATTCATGTCCTAAGTAGGAATATATATTATGTGGCCTATTAACCCCTATTGGCGCGATGTGAGACACATTATTATATTAAGAAGTCTAAAGTCACAACGAATGTTATAAATTGGTAAAAGTGTAAAGAAAATATCAATGCTATTTGTAGTATGTGTTAAGAATATTTTATTTAAATAAAGTTGGGCATCCATTAGGATATCATGAAATTTCATGTCTGGATATATCTTGATATAGTAAAAATATGTATCTTATATACATACAGTTATTTTTGATGTACAAATATTGCATTACGTTATTTTATTTCTGTTTGGGCTTTCTAAAAATCTAATTAAGGACGGCCGTGGTGGTGGTATAAGATGAAGAGTTACCTGGAGATGGCTAGCTACGTTTTCTCGAGTGAGGCCACTAACATTCATCCTCTCTAAAATTTTCTTGGGAACAATATCTACATGAAATCACACTATTCAAATATATATATATATATAGATAGTAGAAATCTAAAATGATAAACCCTAGTAACTATATATGAACCCTAATGTAGGTCTCACCACGGGTGTCAAGGTATTTCATTGCCTCCAAAAACTTGTCGTTAAGACATTCGTCCCACACAACTCGCCTTTTCTTGGTGGCTGAACCATGAGCATGATCTAGATCCTCCTTGTCGGTTTGTAACATGTTTCCTTTTCTCTTGTTAGGGTTTCTTATGGAATCTCCCACAGAGGATGACTTCTCAGCTGCTGCTTTCTCTTCTGCCTTTCCAGAAACTGTCACACTCATTAGTTCCATCTTCTTTACCAGGTATTTGTAAATCAAACGTAGATCTTCTGGTCTAATTGGTTTTATGAGATAGTCACATGCACCGTTCATCATCCATTTGGTCACAGACTCTCTTGAACCGTCTTTGGATGTTACTGCAAAAAAAGTGCGTTTGTTGTTATGTTAATCTAATAAAAAATTTCAATATAGACGAACTAGGCTTACTTATGATCGGAATATCCATTTCAGATCCAATTTCCGAGATTAATCGGAATACTTTCCCATCTAAATCGTTTGCTTCCATTATAGCTATGTCAAACATATTTCTGTGGTTGCAGAGTAGATACATAGCTCTTTCCTCTTCATCGCATCTAGTCACTACAAAGCAAAATATAAGATTAGGTCAACCTCGATAATACAAAACTAAGAATCAAAAACATATTGGGAATTATATATGAACTTCATATCACTTGATCAGTTCTAACAACTTCTAAAAATCAATCAAAAAATATACCTACCTTGGTATTGAAAGTCTTGTAAGTGTTGCTCCAATACATGGAGATATTGTGGATCTTCATCAAACAATAACACCCTCAAACCCTCGGGGAATGTGCCTGGAAACATATTAGAATTTGGTAAATCACTATGTCGACCACCACCACCATTCTCAGCCATTTTTTATTATACCCGGCTGCAGTGAAAAGCTGCGTGTTTTTATGTTGTAGTCCGGTAAATTCGCCTAGGATGCTCACCTCTTTAAAACAACAAAATTCTGATATTTATCTCCTGTAATTATTATTCATTTCTAATTAGAAAACAAGTCGGTGACCCGAAAACGCATTTGATAACAGAATCTTCGATTTGGAGACTCCGAATAAAACTGTATATTATAATAATCAATTAAATATGATCTTTTCTAGGATTGTTAAATACTGTTATGCTTTTACTGTCTTACTTTTAAATTAGAGAAAGTGCTTGGAATGACCCAAATTGATCATATAAAAATTTAAATACTAGACCTTATTTTGATATAAGGAAATTGACTAATACACCTTTTTCTCATTTTGTAATCGGAAAAAAAAATTAATTAAGAAAAAAAGAAATTAAAAGATTAAGGGAAAAAAAAGATAAAAAAAAGACCAGAACACGGGTCTCTCTCTTGTTCGACGAATCGTCGACGAATATGAATCTCTCTTTCTTCACAAAATTCTCATATGTATTTTTCTTATTAGGTATGAGTAATTTACTATCTCGCTCATTGTCCACTTCAAATAACCACTTTTTCTTCTCGAATTTTCACTTCCCACAGACCAGAATGATGAGATCCATTGTTCTATAAACAAAAAGGATGGAAGAAAGTGTTCAAACCACCATGAAAGAGACAACTTGAGAAAGAAGAAAAGAGAGATAAAAGAGATGACGGCAGTTGCTACAAAAATAATTAGCCCTAATTGTGGTTTTAAACCACTAGAAATAAACCAAAATCGGATTAATTGGAGTAAACCGGGATTCAGTCCGAATTTAATTTCTACTGGTTTATTAAAACCCAGAATAATTAAACAAATATGCCACTACGTAAACTAACAAGTCGGCCACGTCGTAATACAACAAGTCTGCAACATTTGTAAATCTGTGATAGATTTGCCTTAAGTCTTCCGTAGGAAGAATAGATTTTCTATACAAATCGGTCATAATTCAACAAGTCTGCCTTTGGAAACTAAATCGATCGCACAAATCTGTGGTTTGATATAAATTTGTTGTGTCATCCGAGAGACATATTTAAGAAATCGATTTTTTTTATACAAATCAGAAAAAATATAGACAAATTTGTTGTGTCATATGATAGACATTTTTAAAAACTCTGTTGTTCGGCAGATTTGTTTTTCCCAAATTAAATATGCCGACGACCTAATTTGAGAGACCTTTTTTTTTGTATAACTATAGCCAGGGGTAATTATGACCATGAAAACATTCTAATAATTTGAAAAACATATATGAGTCATTCTAGTAATATCACCATAAATTAGAGTCATTCTAATATTCTTCCCTTTAAATTATGGAATGAAGGAAAAAATTATAATGCATAAACCTTATTTATTCAGCTTCATAGAATAATCTTGGGTTCACCTCTTATGGTAGGTTCACCAACCAATAGGATTACATTATTTTATATTCAGTATTTTTTTGAAAAAAATAAAATATTATCAAATTATATTATGTTTTAAAAATTAAAGATAAAATAAATAAAAAATAATATTAGTTGCAAAAAAAATTAATACTATTATCAAAACACTAAACTCTAAACCCAAAATCCTAAATCTTAAAATCCTTCTGTAAATCTTATACCTTTTGATAAATCCTTAACTTTTAAAAAAATATTTTTAATACCATCGGCAAAACACTAAATCTGAAATCTGAAATCTTAAACCCTTGGATAAACTATAAACAATTGGATTAATCATAAATTATAGGATTTAAGATCAATCTAAAGGTGTAGGATTTACCCAAGGGTTAAGGATTTTGAATTTAGTGTTTTGCTGACGATATTAAAAATATTTTTTTAAAAAAGGTTATTTGTTTGCCACTACTATTATTTTTTATTTACTTTTATCTTTTAATTTTAAAAAATATAATATAACTCGATAATTTTTTTTTTTTAAAGATACTAAATATAAAATAATGAAATTCTATTGATTAGTGAACCCATGAATTTCTCTAAATTTTATAGGTTTATTAATCAAACATAATTTCATAGATAAATATAATAACATATATAAGTTGATAGAAGTATAAGGATATAAAATTTGAATTAATTTATTACTTTGCTGAAATTATTATATTTTTGAGATGTATATTAATTGTGATAACACACGACAAGTGTCATTTTCCAAAGAGAAGGCGAGAGAGAGCTAGTTTTTGCGTGGGAATTGATGTGGTCAACCATGCTTGACTACAAGTACTAATCATCCCCTCACTAACGGACTTGGTCATGGTGAATCAAGGATCCATCACACTACTCGCAGAGTATGTAGCAAACCANGTTCCGCAACCGAAGTGTATCACAAAAAGTGTTGCATCTCAACATTACAAAATCACTATATGAGCTCCTCCAAATCCTTATTCATGGAAATGAAACAGCAAACTCTTGAATAGTCTGAGTAAACATGCAAGAGTCTAGCCACTAGTTGGTGGTTCTTCAGTGTAAGAGAGACTATATGTGAAGTAGAGTAGCAGATAATGGGGTATGTTGATCAGACCAGTGCCAAGTCGATGGTCAAGAAAACATCTTTTGCGTTTCACCTCATTTGTGGCCGTTGGAGGTGAAGAATATGTAGTCCGGATGATCAACTTGTAGATGCTTAAGCCATTTGTCTGCAGCTTGTTGCAAAGACGAGAGCTTTTGGGACTCTTGAGCTCTGTTTTGGTTCCATACGGATACTTTTAGCTTATAAGATGCGAGTCCAAAAGTAGGCAACGGTAGCTTTATAGATGGCTTAGTATCACTACAACCTATAGAACCTGCTTCAGTACATAGACGATACTAAGTAAGAGATCCCGCTAGTTTCTGAAAATCTAAGACAAGATAAAAACAATCTTGTTCACATCAAAAGCATACTTTGAGGAGGTGGTGTTGAGAGAGAGTGGAAAGTTAGAAAGCAGGCATCGAGATTTTGTAGTGTTGGACCAACTGGTATTCTGTATATTGGATACCTACACACACCAACGAATTATAACCTCACCATTTCAAGTCCATCCACATATAATTTCAGCAGTAACAACCTCAAGACTCAAGAGAGGGTCAACAAGAAACATACCATGACACAGAGAGCCAACTTGATGGAGAAAGATCACAGCTCCTGTATGTCCTTAGCTCAGGAAACCTTGAGGCGAGATCTGATACCTAATGTTATGAAAACTTTTGTTAAAATGTGGAAAAAAAAGTATAACAAATGACGATAGCTTGTCTTTGTTTAGGAGGAAGCACAGTTTACCTTGTTAGCCAGAGGTTCACGGCCAAAGGGAGGTTCATACTCCAAGTACTCAAACAACAACTCTCCATGAACATTGCTAATCTCAGTCTCTCCACTTGACAACGAACCGGTAACAGATTGATCTCCCAAACTAACTCTATTCAGTTCATTAACACTCAAGTCCACCGCATTCTCCAAAGTCTTAGCATGGTTAGGTAACTTATCAAGCTTACTATTGCTGCTTCCTTCACTACTTTCTTCATTATCTTCACCTGGACTTCTGTTTCAAAAGACAACAGTCAAAACTGTGAAATGGAAAAAAAGATTCGTGTACAGACACAATTGAAAGAACTAACCTGGCTTTCTTTGATGGGTCAACTACATACAACTGAATACCAGATAAGTAAGGCACATAATACTGCACAGTAGAGTCACTCCCATCCATATGTAGAGGAACACCAGCACCATAAGCACTCCACTCTGCAAACGACTCCCACAGATCCTCCAAAACAAAATATGTATTGCACTCTGATTCACACCTGCTCCTCTGGCAAAACAAATTACACCAATTAAGCAATGCTCAAATGATACAGAAACAAAACAAAAAAAACACATCTTGATTCTACACTTAAATCACATGATAAAAACTAAAGTCTTCCCATTTCAAAACTCTTATGAACTTAATTAATAATACACGACAATCTCCGGTTTTACTCTAACATTTCTAAACTTACTCTAACCATAAAGATTCAAACTTGTCTTACCACGGGAAGTAACCGAACAAAGGGAGTGGTATGCTCCAAGAACCGATCCAAGTTTGACCCGTCTCTCTCAACCCGACCCGATCCAGACGATTCAGATGAGCAGACGGATACTTCAGACCCGGAAACCACCACCCTGTCCCGATTCTTGCTCTTAGCCAGACCCTTCCTCAAACGAGGCGGCGGCATCGAAGAAGCAGACGAAAGCTTCCCTTCTTCTTCTGCTTCTTCTTCTCGTTGCTGCTTCTCTCTCAACTGCTGCTGCATCCTCCGCATAGCCGGCGGATTGTAAAACCGATTCTCGCCTCGGATCGCTGTGCGTGCGATTGAAACTCCTCCAGACCCCGACATTGTGTTGATTTCAAAATCGAATCTTTCACCAAACAAAAAAAAAACAATCCAGACGAAACAAAACCAAACAGTAAAATTTAATTTGTCGAGTAACTTTGGGTTCTGTCTGAGTTGGAAACAGCAGTTCTAGGGTTTTAGAGATTGGAAAGAAGATGAAAGGATTTGGGAATTTTCGATTTAATATTTATTTATCACTAAAGAAGAAAATCATGGACTCTATTATCAATTTTTTTATAGTGGCATAGACTCTCTCTCTCAGATTGTATATTAACAAAAATATATATAGTAGTTGAAACAGCTGACAAAAAATTAATATTACAGAAAAAATGTGGCGAAAAGAGGAAGATGGTGGGAAGTGAAGGGTTGTGTTTGGTAGCGAATGGTTTCTTCGTTGACCAAAGCAGTTCTTCGTTATTGAATAATATTGGGCCGGACTTTCTTAACGGACCGTGTGTTCTTCCAAAAGATGATGTTGGAAGAAAAATCAAATTTGTTATCTTATTTAAATTATTTTAAAAAAATTACAACAACTGAGTTATTTTATGTCATCACTAAAATAACTCTTAAAATCTTTATAGAAATAAATTAGTCCATTTGTACATATATTATTTTCTAAATTCATTTTAGAGTTACTACATTTATCTATGTAACTATTTAACCACTTTTTCTGTAATTTAAATTATTAGTTCTATTTGATATTGTTATAACATAAAACTATTTATTTATATAGGTGCATTTCATAAAAATTTTGATAACTATATTATTTTTATTATTATTATTATTATTATTATAGATAAATATAATAACACATATAAGTTGAAAGAAGTATAAGGAATATAAAATTTGAATTAATTTATTACTTTGCTGAAATTATTATATTTTGAGATGTATATTAATTGTGATAACACACGACAAGTGTCATTTTCCAAAGAGAAGGCGAGAGAGAGCTAGTTTTTGCGTGGGAATTGATGTGGTCAACCATGCTTGACTACAAGTACTAATCATCCCCTCACTAACGGACTTGGTCATGGTGAATCAAGGATCCATCACACTACTCGCAGAGTATGTAGCAAACCANGTTCCGCAACCGAAGTGTATCACAAAAAGTGTTGCATCTCAACATTACAAAATCACTATATGAGCTCCTCCAAATCCTTATTCATGGAAATGAAACAGCAAACTCTTGAATAGTCTGAGTAAACATGCAAGAGTCTAGCCACTAGTTGGTGGTTCTTCAGTGTAAGAGAGACTATATGTGAAGTAGAGTAGCAGATAATAGGGTCTGTTGATCAGACCAGTGCCAAGTCGATGGTCAAGAAAACATCTTTTGCTTTTCACCTCATTTGTGGCCGTTGGAGGTGAAGAATATGTAGTCCGGATGATCAACTTGTAGATGCTTAAGCCATTTGTCTGCAGCTTGTTGCAAAGACGAGAGCTTTTGGGACTCTTGAGCTCTGTTTTGGTTCCATACGGATACTTTTAGCTTATAAGATGCGAGTCCAAAAGTAGGCAACGGTAGCTTTATGGACGGCTTAGTATCACTACAACCTATAGAACCTGCTTTCAACACATAGACAATACTGAGTAAGAGATTTCGCTACTTTCTGACAATCTAAGACAAAATAAAAACTATCTTGTTCACATCAAAAGCATACTTTGAGGAGGTGGTGTTGAGAGAGAGTGGAAAGTTAGAAAGCAGGCATCGAGATTTTGTAATGTTGGACCAACAGGTATTCTGTATATTGGATACCTACACACCAAGGCTCACCATTTCAGACCCATCCATATATATTCCAAAAGTAACAATCTCAAAACACAAGAGAGACATACCATGACACAGAGACCCAACTTGATGGAGAAAGATCACAGCTCCGGTATGTCCTTAGCTCAGGAAACCTTGAGGCTAGATCTGATACCTAATGTAATGAAAACTTTTGTTTAAATGTGAAAAAAAAAAACAAATGAAGATAGCTTGTCTTTGTTTAGGAGGAATGACAGTTTACTTTGTTAGCCAGAGGTTCACGGCCAAAGGGAGGTTCATACTCCAAGTACTCAAACAACAACTCTCCATGAACATTGCTGATCTCAGTCTCTCCACTTGACAACGAGCCAGTAACAGACTGATCTCCCAGATAAACTCTATTCAGTTCACTAACACTCAAATCCACCGCATTCTCCAAAGTCTTAGCATGGTTAGGTAACTTATCAAGCTTACTATTGCTGCTTCCTTCACTACTTCCATCATTATCTTCAACTTGATTTCTGTTTCAAAAGAGTTCTTGTTGACTGATACAAGGAGAGAACAACTTTTCGTGTAATAAACAGAAACACTTGAAAGAACTAACCTGGCTTTCTTTGATGGGTCTACTACATACAACTGAATACCAGATAAGTAAGGCACATAATACTGCACAGTGGAGTCACTCCCATCCATATGTAGAGGAACACTAGCACCATAAGCACTCCACTCTGCAAACGATTCCCACAGATCCTCCAGAACAAAATATGTATTGCACTCTGATTCACACCTGCTCCTCTGGCAAAACAAATTACAGCAAATAAGTAATGCTCATATATGATACAGAAACAAAACAAAACAAAAAACACATCTTGCAATGAGTTCTACACTTAAATCACATGATTAAAACTAAAGTCTTCCCATTTCAAAACTCTTATGAACTTATTACACGACAATCTCCGGTTTTAATCAACAATAGATAACATTTCTAACTTACTCTAACCATAAAGATTCGAACTGGTCTTACCACGGGAAGTAACCGAACAAAGGGAGTGGTATGCTCCAAGAACCGATCCAAGTTTGACCCGTCTCTCTCAACCCGACCCGATCCAGACGATTCAGATGAGCAGACGGATACTTCCGACCCGGAAACCACCACCCGGTCCCGATTCTTGCTCTTAGCCAGACCTTTCCTCAAACGAGGCGGCGGCATCGAAGAAGCAGACGAAAGCTTCCCTTCTTCTTCTGCTTCTTCTTCTCGTTGCTGCTTCTCCCTCAACTGCTGCTGCATCCTCCGCATAGCCGGCGGATTGTAAAACCGATTCTCTCCGCGGATCGCTGTGCGTGCGATTGAAACTCCTCCAGAGCCCGACATTGTGTTGATTTCAAAATCGAATCTTTCACCCAAAAAAAATCCAGACAACAAAACCAAACAAAAAAAAAGACAGTAAAATTTAATTTTCTCGAGTAACTTTGGGTTCTGTCTGAGTTGGAAACAGCAGTTCTAGGGTTTTAGAGATTGGGAAGAAGATGAAAGGATTTGGGAATTTTCGATTTAATATTATTTATCACTAAAGAAGAAAATCATGGACTCTATTATCAATTTTTATAGTGGTATAGACTCTCTCTCAGATATATATATAGTAGTTGAAACAGATGACAAAAATTAATATTACAGAAAAAATGTGGCGAAAAGAGGAAGATGGTGGGAAGTGAAGGGTTGTGTTTGGTAGCGAATGGTTTCGTCGTTGACCAAAGCAGTTCTTCGTTATTGAATATTGGGCCGGGACTTTCTTAACGGACCGTGTGTTCTTCCAAAAAAAGATGTTGGAAGAAAAATCAAATTTGTTATCTTATTTAAATTATTTTTAAAAAATTACAACATCTGAGTTATTTTATGTCATCACTAAAATAACTCTTAAAATCTTTATAGAAATAAATTAGTCCATTTATACATATATTATTTTCTAAATTCATTTTAGAGTTACTACATTTATCTATGTAACTATTTAACCACTTTTCCTGTAATTTTAATTATTAGTTCTATTTGATGACTATTGTTATAACATAAAACTATTTATTTATATAGGTGCATTTCATAACAATTTTGATAACTATATTATTATTATTATTATTATTATTTTATATTTTGTTATTTTGTAGGACAAATTATACATCAAAAGTTACTAATCAATTATTTTTTAAAATTATATATATAGACATATTGTATAATAAATATATATATGTTGAAGTATATTTCATTTTTTAATTTAATATATTTAAAATTTCTTATATATATCTTTTCAAATTTATAATCAATGTTAAATACAATTGATATTATTATTATTTTTTATTATTATTATTATCAAGGCATTACTTTCTCTGTAGCCCTTAATCCTATTGAGAGATCCATTTTGTGGATGATGAAAATTCCATAGGATTTGCTCCGGTATGAGTAAAATCGTACTCCTTTGATTTTCAAATTTGCTTAAATGTTAATTAACTTTCTTTTATCATGAATCTTATAACTGACATGTTGAAAATAGTTCTTAGTATCTAGAACTTGCAAGTAAAATCACCTCCCTAGTTTAATTTCTTCATATTTTTGTGGTGATATTTAAAGCTATGGTTTTCATCTATAGATTTTATTCAGGTAGTAGGAGGTTTAAGAAAATTTAATATTCTCAAATTTGTGTTTCAGAACCTTTCATTTGGCAATGTTTATCATAATTGTTTTACTTTTGTTTCCCCAAATATTTTGCTTACTTTTAAACACCCATTATTAAGAATTAGATAACTGATTTTATAATTATAACAATTCTTTATAACATCTGACAATAAATTGAGTAATATTTTATGGATTATTAATAGAACCAAAGCAAGAAAATCCATTTATCTATAGGTTGCAGGGCGATCAATACTTGACCAAAGTATGTAAATAACCTGTATTGGATGTCTTATTTTCATGCTAATTTGCATCATCTTCTTTTCTCTAATGCATGATTTCTCAGAAAGACCCACGATTTGTTATGTCTTGCTAATTTATGAGGCTGGAGAATTCAGTAACCTTGTTGATGATGAAAAAATTATATAAAACTTCTTAAAAGTTCATCACTTATTTGGTGTGCTGCATCACCAATAAGTTAATGTCCTAGTATATGGGTTTAGAGGATGACTTCTTTACTTGTGTTGTTAAATATATTTTTGTGGTATGATGTGTGGTATAGGTACTTGCTTGTCGTTGGTGTAACAACCAGTCTAGATTCTTGTCAATTCAAGTACAAAGACCCACGTCATTTCAGGTACTATGTATGATTGATAATAGTTTCAATTTATTTTCGCAAATTATTAAGTTGGAAAATCTCACAAAACCAATCATACAGTTAAAATGACTTAATGCAATAATGATCTCGCATCAAAAGCTTATGTTAAACTTGCAAAATATTTTCTTATGTATGGCTAATAATGCACTTCATCTGCACAACTTTGAAGTAAATTCATTTGTTTTATACATGTAGCAACTAACTATGTTATCAACGTGAATAGTGCATTAGTCCTCAAGGACTCAGTTGAGAAATACATGATTAAAAAGAGTCCAAGGTAAACTCAAGTCGATTAAACATTTTAAGTTTCTCTGAATAATTTTAAATTAAAAGTTAGTTACCAAAACTCAAAGAAATCTAGAGAGTGAAAACAAACCAAATGTTATGTTGATGAAATATTTTTTCTTAAGCATGTGAATAATCTCCACTAAACTAAATGTCCACTAAATAGCCGAAAGTTTCGATTTTTACTAAAGTTGTAGATATGAGTTCTCAACAAAACTGCTGATATTTGAAAGTTTGTTGTATCAAAAGCATGGAAAAAAACAATTGTTTTCTTGTTGAACTTGAATCTTTATCAACCATAAAGGTATAATTTTTTTTCTAATTATTAAGAGTTAGTTACCTAAAAACCAAAAAATTCTAAAAGAGAAAACAAAACAAATCTGACATTGATGAAAGATCTTTTTTAAGTCATGTGAATAATCTTTACTAAACAAAATGTTCACTGAGTAGCTAAAAGTTTCAATTTTTACTAATGTCGTAGTTGAGAAGTTTTAACAAATCTATGGTTGGGAATAGTTTCAATTTATTTACGCAAATCATTGAGTTGGAAAATCCCACAAAACCAATCGTTTCTTATGTACAATACATTTAAACAATTTAATGCAATAAAGATCTCGCATCAAAAGCTTATGTTAAACTTGCAAAATATCTTCTTATGTGTGGCTAATAATGCACTTCATCTGCACAACTTTGAAATAAATTCATTTGTTTTATACATGTAACAACAAACAATGTTATCAACATGAATAGTGCATTAGTCAGCAAGGACTCAGTTGACAAACACATGATTAAAAAGAGTCCAAGGTAAACTCAAGTCGATTAAACATTTTAAGTTTCTCTGAATAAATTTTAAATTAGTAGTTAGTTATCAAAACTCAAAGAAATCTAGAGGGTGAAAACAAACCAAATGTTATGTTGATAAAAAATATTTCTCAAGCATGTGAATAATCTCCACTAAACAAAATATCCACTAAATAGTTGAAAATTTCGATTTTTACTGAAGTTGTAGATGAGAGTTTTTAACAAAACTACTTATATTTGAAAGTTTGTTATATCAAAAGCATGGAAAAAAAGACAATTGTTTTCTTGTTGAACTTGAATTTTTATCAACCATAAAGGTATAATTTGTTTGTTAATTATTAAGAGTTGGTTACCTAAAAACCGAAAAATTCTAAAAGAGAAAACAAAACAAATCTGACATCGGTGAAAGATCTTTTCTTAAGTCATGTGAATAATCTTCACTACCAAAATGTTCACTGAGTAGCTATAAGTTTCAATTTTTACTAATATTGTAGTTGAGAGATTTAAACAAATCTACTGATATTTGAAAGTTTGTTATATCGAAAGCATGAATTTTTTTTATTATGTTGAACCTGAATCGTTATTAACGTTTTCTAATTATTAGAAAGCATCTAAGAAATAAGTATTTTTATGTTGAACCTGAATATTTAACAACCATAAAAAAGATAATTTGTTTGCTAATTGTTAGAGTTAATTAGCTAAAAACAAGAAAAAAGTAGATAGAGAAAACAAAACAATGTTGATAAAAGATCTTTTCTTAAACCATGTGAATAATCTCCACTGAACAAAATGTTAACCAGTTACACATGAATGAAGAAATGAACCTATACAGATATATGAACCTCACAAGATGCAAATAACAGGTAAAATTCTACACACTGTTGTTTATTTGGAGAATAAAGAAAAGAATCTGACCTTTTTTGCTAACTTAACAAACCAAATATAAATCATGGAGCCATGAGCTTATTCTCGTCTCCAATTAAGTTTTGTTTTCATCAAGCCACAGCTCTGCCATAGGAATTTTCATTACCCTCCAGCTCGAAGCAGGGTTCAGGGACCACGGAGTCTGAATAACCCTCCACATATGAGCATTTCCAAGAATCATCATCAGGAGAACCAGAGTTCGTCATCGACAGAGAGATATTGGATAGCACAACCGAAGTGAAAGGAGACTCTTTAGTACCAAAGAAGTCTCCTGCAACGCTTATGTTCTCTCCAACAATGTCATGTAACCTGATATGACTGACCAACGGGAAAGCATTTTCATCAAAACCTGAATCAGGGTGAGTTCCAAAGCTACCATTGGCTAGAAACGCAGTACCAACGTTAACCATATGGATGTTGGAAACATCAATCTCTTTAATGTAACCGCCTCTTCCATTAGCTGTCCTAAAAGCTATCCCGGATAACGAGTTGTGCATATAAGCATCGAGTACCACGACATCAGATATGCCACCAGACATTTCACTGCCAAAGGAAATAGAGGAACCAGAAGCTCCTCGTAGGTGAACACCTCTTATCTGGACATTAGCAGTAGGTCTTGCATGTGAGATACCGTATTCATCCCAACCACTTTTTAGTGATATAGCATCATAGCCCATGTTGATGGTAGAGTCTTGGATGCACACATTATTAGAAGAATCTTGAAAGAAGCAAAAAAAAAAGAAAAACATACTAAGGTTTCAATTGTAAAAGCAAACAAACAAGTGAAGCCAAGCCATAACATAACAACTAACCTGGGACAATGCCAATGGTATAAGGAGATTCTGGAGAAGTATTAACTGTTACTCTATTAATGTATACATGGCTGCACAATATCACTGACCAAAGTCAACATTTTACCCAAAATTTTCTAAAAAAATAATAAGAAAAAGGGAATTTTCAGACACAATCTTTACCTGCAATAAACCGAATGGATAGTATAAGCAGGAGCATTCAAGAACGTAAGATTCGAGACAATGACATTCTCTGAAGAGACAAACTCAACGAGATGCGGTCGACTATACTTTAAAGAATGAGAGTTAAACCGATCCCACCAAAGCAGACCTTGACCATCTATAGTACCGTTATCACCTATGAACACATGGAAACGTTAACAAACAAAAATGTAATGAAAAAAAGGATCAATCATGTAATAATAATAACCTGTAACTACTACATCATGTAGCATATAGCCATTTATCAAGCTCATGTATCTCTTCCCGGGTACATCAATGCCTCGTCCATATGATGGTAACGGATCCACTACTTGCCAATGCGATGGATCCTACACATAGTTTTGAAAAAAGTGAAGCCACAAACTCATTAGACTGATCAAAGCACACACACAGAGACAAACCTGAGAGGCGAGAATGAAGGCGTCTTTCTCAAGGAAGAGAGTTAAGTGACTGGTGAGATTGAAACTACCGGTGAGCCACCGTCCAGGAGGAACATAGAGCTGAGCACCGCCTTTATCAGCGAAAGACTTGAGATAGAAGACAGCATTCTGAAACGCGAGCGTGTTCAACGTTTTACCGTCTCCAACAGCACCAAACTCCAGAATTGAGACACTGTGTGGTCTAGAGTTCGGTCTCTGAGCAAGATCGCATACGTTTCCGGCGCCGTTACTCGGAATCAGACAGGTTAATGCCAGCAGCAAAACTAATGCCACCTGACAAAACACTAAGAAAATCAGCTAATTCAGATCCAAATCTTGATTCCTTTCGATCAATCGGAATTAACTAATCTCGGACAAGACAGGGTCACATGGAAGAAGGACAAGAGACTTAGAAATAAGAAGAAGACGTACTTACTGGCATCTTTATTTGTAATAGCAAAAAGCTGTCTGAAAACGAACTGAAAAAGCAGAAAAGCAAGGAAAATTCCGCGCCAAATGCAATCACCAGATGCTGAGAAAGAAGCAAAGAAGCAAAAGAAGGAGAGGCAAGAAGAAGAAGAGTTATGACCACAGAGACGAGAGAATTTGCTTTTATTTTGATTAAGCAAAGAGTATAAATGGTAGTGCAAAAAAAAAGGAAACTATAATTTTTATAGTATAATATAATTCCATAAAAAAATATAAGCAAATAAGGTAGGAAAAAATTAACGTCAAAATGACAGCCTTTTTTTATGCGTATAAACATTATTGGGCATAGGACTGGGCATTTTATTCGTTAAATTTGATTCGATTCGTTATTCGTTTCGATTCGATCCGAAAATTCCGGATATTCGTAAACTTTCGAATCAAAGCAAATACTAAAAATCAATATCCGTTAAAATCGAAGCAAATCACAAATATTAAAATTTTGGGAAGTGGATATCCGATCCGATCCGATCCGGAAATATATAAATACATGTATATTTTGATTATATTTAATATTTTAAATGTATAAAATTATTATTATAGCTTATGATTTGACTAATTATATTCATATTATTACTTATATAAAAGTATTAGATAATAAGAAAAAGAAAATTTGTGAAAATTATAAAAAAATCTTAAGTTTTGTGTTATTATAATTGTTAACTTAAACTAAAAAATTTTATAAAATATATAATTTCACTACTTCTTTATTTTTTATTTTATATATCATGAAAAAAATATTTTACAAAATAAATTTATATCAAATTTTTAAGATTATTTGTAACGGATGAGATATTCGTAAGTATTCGTAAATATCCGGAAATATCTATTTATTTTCCGGATATCCGTTTTTCCGGATATCCGTATTTTTTCGAAGCAAAGCAAAAACCAAAATCAGATATCCGTAACATACGAAGCAAATCACAAATACCTTTGAAAACCCGGATATCCGATCCGTGCCCACCCCTAATTGGGCATATGAAAGAAAAGATGAAGAAGAATTGAAATATGACAGGTGGTAAAATTTAAAATAATATAGAAGGAAGCAAATTTAATTAAAAAATAAAGTCTAATTTTAGCTAATTTTTTTTAACTTGATTTTTTTTAAACTTAATTTTAGCTAATTTTTTAATCATTAGTATCCCACTAATAAGCAATTAATACCTGGTTGGCTACTAAACAGTTTTAAGAATAAAACGTAACGTATTCTCGCCGACAGATCTTCTACACACCATAGAGTGATAGAGAGAGAGCGACATTTTCCTTCTCTCTTCTCACCTCACATGAAAAAAAAAAAAGGAAGAAGATGAGACAAAAATGGCTGTCTGATATTAATCTTTTTGTGTTTTATCTGGAGAAGTGCATGTGTTTGGTCTTTTTTTCTTGTAATTCTTTCCTTTCTAGAAATTATAAAATGATTTTAACAATATTTGACCTTTCCAGAGTTTTGGTTTTATTATGTCTTTTTCATTGTTCAGTCACGGTCAGTGGCATACTGGTATACTGTTATTGTGTCTAGATGTCTAGTTCTTCGGTCCACATTGACGATATATTAATTTATATGTGGTTATCGAAATTTTAAGAGAACGTGGTAAAAGTTATTTCTTTTAGATGCAAGTCTAAATCTCATATAGTAAAGAAAACTCATAATCTGTGGAGTCAGTCCTGATGTTTTGTTTCAATATATTTCTGTTGTTAACACATGTTCCTTATGCGCCAACTGAACATTTATGTGATGTAATGTATTTTCTTAGGTAACTTAATTTCGGAAAATTATACAAAATGTTTATGGATTAATCAAAAGCTCCAAGAAAATTTGTTTTTACTTTTAATCTTTAGTTATTTACTCTTATCGGATTTTACTTTTAATCACGAATCATTCTTTTGTTTACCCATGCAGCAAACCAATAAAAAGTTCGTAAATCTCTTTTTCGAATCAAATAAGTGTTTTCAGTTCTATGTATATATATGTTGAAGAACTAATATTGACAACAGCACAAAGTATCTAATTCGAATATATAATTATGCGAAAAGCATCACATTTGAAGAAAAAAATAACATAGTAAAAAAAAGCAAGAGCAAGCGAATTAAAACAAGTTTGAAATATATAGGAAGAGGCACCAAATGAAGGAATATAAACAGTGGTGGAGAGAATGAAGACTCAAAACCATGTGGCCGAATGGTAAATGGGTCCCACTCCTATCAATCTTCTAATTTGCCAGCCTGTCATTTTGTGTATGTAATGCTTTTCGTTTCTTTATATAATCACCCATTCATGAAAGTTTATTCATATGATGATAGTTCAGTTTTGTTTCTATGCTCCTTTTTGACGTCAGATGGCTCGATTTTGTTGTTTCTGTTTACAATGTTACTGAAAAATATAGAGTTGTACATGGCACGGGGTTGAACAATTGAACATAACTAGAAAAAACTAAAATCTGAGTCACATAAATATAGCATCAATGATTACTAATCCATGTAACACATCCAGTCTCTTTTTTGCATAAAAAGGAAATCAAAATTTTGAGTAATCATCATATAAATGACTCATATGGACCATAGAAAATGTTATAATGACTCAAATAGCATAAACAAGTACAAAACATACGATGCAACAACTACAAGAGAAAGGCGTGATTACTAATCTGCTAAGCAATGTATGCTCAGCTTATGACTCAAATGAAAGGGACAAGAAACTCTTCAGCCTCACTCTCTTCCGCTTATCACTAACAACAAAGGCAAGCACAAATCGACAGTGTGGGTAATTGGTAACAAAGAAAAATTAAAGCTCTCTTATTATTGACCAACTTTAAACTTATCCAACCAGTGTTCATTATGTGCTTAATGCAAAAAGGACAAAAACGCCTTCGCTTTCTTTATCTATTTGAAGAAGAAAAGAGAGTAGTCTCCAACGAAATCACTAAGATGATTGTTTGAGAAAACGAGGATTCAGATGAGATGGGCTTTGGTTTTAGAGAGTAGTGGAATCAACCAGGGCTTCGGTAATCTTCTTCTCCAGTTCCTTTGGCTCGATCCACAATGAGCTTTGCTCATGCAATAGCTTCTTTCTCGCTTTCTTCTTCTCTTCTCTTTTTAATCCTGTCGTTCTCCAGAACTCCAACTTTTCCTCTCTTTCTTTCATCTGAAATTTTAAACACAAACCAGTCTATGACTCAAACGTTTCTTGAATCGGATTACAACTTTCAATTAGAAAAACAATAGACCATTACTGCTCCGAGTCTGGGACCAATAGACATAAAGAAACTCAAACTAGAATCAGAAACTGGGAGTAGTTACTTTGCATCCACGAGTACATGAAATGAATTTTATGAATCAGCGGATACTCCTTTCCTTTGTACAGTGTTTCTTCTACCTCCAACTCAAACAAGTGAAACCTCACTAACTAATAGGTATCTCTAGAACCTCACTAATTCACTACTCATCTTATGTTCCATTAACAAGTAAGAGGTCATAAACTTTAAACCAGAACAAAAGCTAACACAGAGATATATTATTACGGTTACAGGATTCATCAAAACCTCCACCAGCGGTTAAGCAAACACTTATCCAATCCCATAGCCATATATTTTCACCAGCTCAAATTTAAATATCTCTCTTCCACTGGTAGATAACAGAACAAAAAATACTCTTTTATGTAACAGTAAACCCTGAAAAATAACTATGAAAAGTTCCAAAACTTTCAAGAGACTAAACAACACACTGAATCTTCACATACCTCCAACTCAAACAAGTGAAACCTCACTAACTAATAGGTGTCTCTAGAACCTCACTAATTCACTATTAACAAGTAAGAGGTCAAAGGCTCTAAACCAGAACATCAGCTAATACAAAAATGTTATTACGGTTACAGGATTCATCAAAACCTCCACTTAAATTTAAGCAACACTTATCCAATCCCATACCCATATAACTTCACCAGCTCTAATTTAAAGATATCTCTTCAACTGGTTAATAACAGAGCAAAACCCTTTTATTTAACAGTAAGACCTGAAGCATAACAATGAAAAGTTCCAAACTTTCAAGAGACTAAACAACACACTGAATCTTCACATACCAGACAAACCCTTTCCCCCTATCTAATTCAAGAATCACACTAGACTTACCTATTTGATTTATGTAACAGTAGAACCCTGAAGCATAACTATGTAAAGCCCCAAACTTTCAAGACTCTACAACACTTTTGATTCTTCACCTCCCAAACAAACACTTCTCCCTCTATCTTATTTAAAGAAAGAAAAAAAAGAACGTACCAAAGTCTTCCTGAACTCATCCTGGAAAATCTTACGCTCCTCAGCTCTAACCTTAGCAGCCTCAGCTTTCAAACGCCTTCTCTCCTCATTAGCAGCCCTCTCAGCAAGCAACCTAGCCTCATCCTTACGCTGCTTCTCAACCCTAAGCATCTCAATCTCATGAACATACTCTCTCCGATACACCTTCACTTTCTTCGCGTAGTCTCTCCTGAGCTGCTCAAGCATCCTCTCCGCATCCTTGGGATCTTTAGGAGCCTCCCAGCTACCTATATACCTCTCCGGCTCGAGGAAACTGTGCGTCTCCTGGTGGTTCCTGTGGTGAGTGGCTTCTGAGGAGAAGGATCTGAGGGAGTGTTTGGTGAGAGAGGGGCGGGCTTGCTTGACAAGACGGCTTAGTTGATTGCAGAGAGCCATTGGTAGTGAATCTGATGATACAGAAGAAGGGAAGAGAAATGAAGAAGTCAATCCAAACGATAACTCCTCACAAGGGAGAGATCTGAAATTAGTATTTGGTATGAGAGGAAGAAGCTTACCTGAGAGAAATGAGTCGATGGATATTAGCGACCGTCTGAGAGAGAGAGAGTGTGAGGGAGAGAGCGTCCCGGCCAAAATAACCAAAGGGCGGTGAAACGGCGTTTAGACAGACATAAAGCGTTTTAGGGTTGGGAGGAATCAAAAAGAACGTACTGTCTTGTCCCAAAAATAAAAAATAAACGTATTGTCTTATGTAGACTTTTATTTTGAATATCTTTTTTTGTGTTTCCTATATGATAATGTCTAAAATCGAGTGTTACAGTTTTAAAAATGACTAAATGAGCGTTATTTAAATTTTGTTAAAACTACATTATTAATTTTGATGACGAATAATGAAAATTGTTACATAAATTATTCTATAGTTTAAGAAAAATGTATATTAAGCAGTTCTATTTACACCTAACTGAACCTGGTTAATCTTGAATCATGCTGAAGACTTCTGATAAGATTTCACTATTAATATACGTATTTGTTGATAATCCCTTATATATTGTATAATTTGAAATTTGCTGTAAAAACATTAATAAACTATTAATCAAATGATTTGACTAAAGACTTTCACTTAAAATTGTAAATTTAAGCAAACAAAAGAAGTGTTGAACAAATCCAGCTAACTAATTTTAAGGAAACACGGGTAATATATCTAGTAAACTCCATCACTAGTTTAAAACAATCCCATGGGGGGAAGATAACAAGGTTGAGAGATGAAACGCACGGTGGCTTAAGTTGATTGGATAGATGGTTCCGGTACATTTATCTCTTAATTATGCTATTACTTGCATATTTTTGAGTCGTCGAAAGACAATTAGGATCAGAAAAGAAGAATACAAAATGTTGCCTCAAATTAATCCCAATCCCGACTTATCTTTTTATTGTATATATAGTATTTGATATCTGTATATATGATCTTAGTTTTACTAGTTAAAAACCGTTTAGCCATTATAGCCGACCCTTCGTACTAAATTGCTCTTGCTTCCACTTCTCCTTCAGCGTCTCAGTACCGTTGAGATTGACGTCGATAAGTGTTATGTTCTCACATGCCACGACCGTTTTGTTTGTTCATGCATTTTCCACTCAGTAGTATTGGAGATGCTCTAAAACGGTCGACTTTGGTGGGACTCCACGTGTAACAAATTGGTTTAACAAACCACTATGCCTCGTCACTTAGAGTAGAATCAGAGCATGGAACTCCGATTGGAGCGTGGCTTTCACGTGCCGGAGGCCCATCACAGCGGGCGTTACGCTCTAAAGAATCTCGCCCACGGTTTTCTTTATCTCTTGCCGCCAAGTGTCTTCCTCCTTTCGCCACTTCTCATCAACTCACAGGGACCCTAAAAATGGCGTCTTTCTTCATCCCCCCGCTATAAAAATACACCACAGTCACAGTGGGTTCTTTAGCAAGTTACATCTCCTAGTGGGTTTTGCATTGCAAGTTGTTTGTGTTTTTTTTTTGCCTGTGAGAGAAAATCATGCCGACTGGTAGGTTTGAGACGATGCGTGAGTGGGTTCACGACGCTATCTCTGCTCAACGCAATGAGCTCCTCTCTCTTTTCTCCAGGTCTCCCTCTCTCTTACTGAATCTGCTTTCCATTTAGAAGTTTAGGTACATGCATTGTGATTTGTGACCAGGTCCAACGTTTTCAATTTTTTTTTCTTGATGTCTTATGCTCAGCTCACTTAAAGCTTCATGACTTTGTTATTCAACTAATTTTTTTATAGTGCGCTATGAATAATTAAAACTATTGTTAAAAATCTTGGCCTAAGCAGTCGACTACTTTGTCTATGTTTTGCACTAGACCTGCTTGTAACCAATGTTCTAAAAACCGGTCTAGTAAAAACTGGTCTAGACGGCAGGTAAATCATGTTTAAAAGAAACAATTTTTGTTGAATGATTTTTGAATAAAAGTCTAGAAGTCCAAAAAAATTGGTCTAGTCGCTCGTATAATGGATAATCACACCTATTAACTGACCTAGCAACTTTTTGAACATTGATCGTAACTTTGTCAACAGTCTAATATTGTTAGAGTAATTCACGAGTAGAGCCAGCTTTTTTCCTTTTCCATGCATGTGTGTTTGTGCTGTGGTTGGTCTCTTGAGTAATGGTTTTGGTTGCTATGTATAGATACGTAGCTCAAGGAAAAGGAATACTACAGTCTCACCAGCTGATTGACGAGTTCCTCAAGACTGTGAAAGTAGATGGAACAACTGAAGATCTTAAGAATCGTCCATTCATGAAAGTTCTGCAATCTGCAGAGGTGAAAACATAACACTTTCATATCATGACTACATTATTATATATCTTAGATGTTTTAATACACTGAAGTTTTTTTTTTTCTTTTTTTGCATTTCAGGAAGCTATAGTTTTACCTCCATTTGTTGCTCTAGCAATTCGTCCCAGACCTGGTGTTAGAGAATATGTCCGTGTGAATGTCTACGAGCTGAGCGTTGATCATTTAACTGTCTCTGAATATCTTCGGTTCAAGGAAGAGCTCGTTAATGGCCAGTAAGTAAAAATCCTGTGTACAAAGTTTTTTTTTTGTGTGTATATATATATATTAATATCTCAAACCTTTTTTTCATCAGTGCTAATGGTGATTATCTTCTTGAGCTTGATTTTGAACCGTTCAATGCAACGTTTCCTCGTCCCACTCGGTCATCATCCATAGGGAATGGTGTTCAGTTCCTAAATCGTCACCTCTCGTCTATTATGTTCCGTAACAAAGATAGCTTGGAGCCTTTGCTTGAGTTTCTCCGTACTCACAAACATGACGGCCGTGTTAGTTTTTTCTACACTATAACTTGGTTTGTTTATAATTAATTTAGAACACTGACTCTGTACTCTACTCTCTATGTGTAGGCCATGATGCTGAATGATCGAATACAGAACATCCACACGCTTCAGGAAGCTTTGGCCAGGGCAGAGGAGTTTCTTTCTAAACTTCCTCTGGCTACACCATACTCTGAATTCGAATTTGAGTTAAGATCTTTCTTCATTCTCTGCATATTCCTTGGTTAACTAATTGCGTTACCATTTTCCTTTTGTACTTTGGTGAAGACTACAAGGGATGGGATTTGAAAGGGGATGGGGTGACACAGCACAAAAGGTTTCAGAAATGGTGCATCTTCTTTTGGACATACTCCAGGCACCTGATCCTTCTGTCTTGGAGACGTTTCTTGGAAGGATTCCTATGGTGTTCAATGTTGTGATTTTGTCTCCGCATGGTTACTTTGGCCAAGCCAATGTCTTGGGTCTTCCTGATACTGGTGGACAGGTGTACACTTTGATCTAAAGCTATATTATCTGTTGATTCAACTTATATTCATTCTACTGTTGAGATTTGCAGGTTGTCTACATTCTTGATCAAGTACGTGCTTTGGAAAGTGAGATGCTCCTTAGGATACAGAAGCAAGGACTGGATGTTACTCCAAAGATCCTCATTGTATATTTGCTTCCTGACTATCTACTTAGTTGAACATAAATTAGCATTCAAGTTTATGTTTTCATGGTGGCTTATATAGGTAACAAGGTTGATACCAGAAGCAGAAGGAACAACATGCAACCAGAGGTTAGAAAAAGTTAGTGGTACAGAACATGCACATATTCTGAGGATACCATTTAGGACTGAGAAAGGCATTCTTCGCAAGTGGATCTCGAGGTTTGATGTCTGGCCTTACCTGGAGACTTTCGCTGAGGTTAGCACTTGGTACTAGCCAGATTTTCATGTAGCTTTTGTTTTACATATGGGCTTACACTTCACTTCTGTTGACAGGATGCATCAAATGAAATTGCTGCAGAGTTGCAAGGTGTGCCAAATCTCATCATTGGCAACTACAGTGATGGAAACCTCGTGGCTTCTTTGCTAGCTTGTAAGCTAGGAGTCATACAGTGCAATATTGCACATGCTTTAGAGAAAACCAAGTATCCAGAGTCTGACATTTACTGGAGAAACCATGAAGATAAGTATCATTTTGCAAGTCAGTTCACTGCAGATCTAATTGCCATGAACAATGCTGATTTCATCATCACCAGCACATACCAAGAGATCGCTGGAAGGTAAAAATGTCATCCAATATTCAAAATGCATGCAATATTCAAACACATACATAAAACTGTTTTGCTTTTTTGTCGCAGCAAAAACAAAGTTGGGCAATACGAGAGCCACACAGCTTTCACTCTTCCTGGTCTTTACAGAGTTGTTCATGGAATCGATGTCTTTGATCCCAAGTTTAACATAGTCTCTCCAGGTGCTGATATGACCATTTACTTTCCTTATTCTGACAAGGAAAGAAGACTCACTGCTCTTCATGAGTCAATTGAAGAGCTCCTGTTTAGCAGTGAACAGAATGTTGAGCATGTGTAAGTCCTTTTACAACATTTCTGATTGAGCAAATATAAAACTATTTTGATGAATTATAAAAATGATATACAAAACAAAATAAATTAGACAAATTGTACTAATATTATTGCTTAATTTAACAGATTTGAATAATTAAGATTAATTTAAATCAGTTTTAACAGTTTAAACCGATTTGAGTAGTATAAATCAGATTTTCTTAAAAAGTATGTAGACCTATTTTTAGAAACATAACTGGATTTGCTTGCATGTCTTTAATACAGTGGTTTTCTGAGCGACCAGACGAAGCCAATCATCTTCTCCATGGCCAGGCTTGACAGGGTGAAAAACTTGACTGGGCTAGTTGAGTGCTACGCCAAGAACATCAAGCTGAGAGAGGTTGCTAATCTTGTTATAGTCGGTGGCTACGTGGACGTGAATCAGTCCAGAGACAGAGAGGAAATGGCTGAGATACAAAAGATGCACAGCTTGATCAAGCACTATGGTTTACACGGTGAGTTCAGGTGGATAGCTGCTCAAATGAACCGTGCTAGGAACGGTGAGCTTTACCGTTATATCGCAGATACAAAAGGTGTTTTTGTTCAGGTAACATGAAAGATAAGTATGTTACCATTTGGAATCTTTGTAAGGTTTATAGACTCATGTTTCTCTATTTTCACAACACAGCCTGCTTTCTATGAAGCTTTTGGGCTTACAGTTGTGGAATCAATGACTTGTGGGCTACCAACGTTTGCTACATGTCATGGTGGACCTGCAGAGATCATAGAGAATGGAGTTTCTGGCTTCCACATTGACCCGTATCATCCAGAACAGGTTGCAACTACTTTAGTCAGCTTCTTTGAGACCTGCAAGACTAATCCAAATCACTGGGAGAAAATCTCTGAAGGAGGGCTTAAACGAATCTATGAAAGGTTGACACTCAACAAAAGAACCCTAATCGCTTCATCAATATGATATGTTTCATTAAGGGGTTTGTGTGCATGTATATAGGTACACATGGAAGAAGTACTCAGAGAGGCTGCTTACACTGGCTGGTGTCTATTCATTTTGGAAACATGTGTCTAAGCTTGAAAGGAGAGAAACACGACGTTACCTAGAGATGTTCTACTCTCTTAAGTTTCGTGATCTGGTCAGTGTAATTCTTTCTTCATTCTTTAGATTTCTTCGCTTAGTTCACTTGATCATTTTCTTTTTTTTCCGGTTTTGTAGGCTAATTCAATCCCACTGGCAACTGATGAGCATTGAACAAACCATTGTTGAATCTCCTTGTTGTGTTTCTGTTTCTGTTGTCTTTGAATAAAGAAGCTATTGTTGGCTTGTGTCTCCATTACTGGTTTAGTTTTCAGACTTTTTTGGGTTGTTTTCTTCATATGAATAACAAGTATGGTATGCCTGTATGGTTGAGTTCTAAAGCTTGGCATTAAATAACTCATCGTTTCGAATGGAAAAAGTCATATGCTGTTTGTGACTAGTAAACAAAGGAGAACAATGAATGTTTAGGAAGGGCCCATGAGATTTCCTTTGTACTAATAAATGTTCAATGCATCTTGAGATACTCAAAACCAACCCAAAAAATGGTACTCCATATTGTATAATTAATAAGAAATCATTTTTATAACTTTACAAAGATTCAGATGATCATGATCCTATTATAAGAGTGATCACTTCAGAATACATTTTTTTTAATAATCAGTAGGAGTTTGAATCTTCTTTAATATCTCTATAGGTCTTAAACTAACCTTTGCTAATAATTCAAACATGGCCATAAAGCATTTTTGTCTACCAAAAACTCGAACTAGAAGCGCAACAAGACTAACCATTCCGCTCCACTACATCACCTGGTGGTAGAGAATACACGTTACTAGTTTATATAGAGAATACAAGTTACTTGGTTAGTTTAAGTAACGAAGGTCCCTTTCTAAAAACTATATAGTTGGAAAGTATTTGGGAGAGATGTAGTAGCCGAAAAAGAAGGTTGAAAGGGACAAGAGCATTGAATCAAACCAAACAGCTCTTTCTTCACCTTTTTGTCTCTCCAACCTCTTTAAAAGTAAAACCCATTAAACTCATTCACGCTCCTCTCCTCTCCTATTAGCTAGTAAGTAAAGAAGACATGTCGAACAACACTTCCCCTGTTTCTCCCATGCCCCTCTCTCAACATTTCAGCGACTATGGCTTCGATCCTCAAATCGACTACTTTCAGGTTCTTCTTCTTTTATTCTTCTTCCTCCTCCATGATGATTCTCTGGTTACAGTTCAAGTTTACTTTGTTTTAAGGTTTTGGAAGAGGCGAGAAAGCACAAGAAAGAAACTTCTTCCATCGATAGTACGCATCAGTTCAAACTCCAGAAGCCTATATCCAAAGACGACCTGATCCGAACCGCTCTCCACAACAACAAGAAGAAGCAACGTTGGTTCTTGAAAAACGCTTTGCTCATCTTCAACTGGCGGAAATGGCCAAGACGAAGCAGTCGTTACCCCGGAGAAGGAGACATAGAGATGGAACTTGACGTTCACATGGCGAGGGCTAGGAACTTTCGCGCGTCATCACTCGGACCCGGTTCGATATCTGGTCCGGTTTACGTGACTGAGAGCTGGAGCGGTACGAGCACACCGTACCGAACGATGAGACCTTCTTCGCTGACGACGTCACCAGCTGCTATTCCGTATATGAGTCTACGGGAGCTTAACATGGAGCGGAAACAGAGGAGCAATGCATCTTCTTCTTCTTCTTCTATGTCGGGTCCTCTTTACTTGGTCACGTGAATGATTTATAACATTATGGGATGGACGAAAATGAAATAAATTTTAAGTTACATATTTGGGTGGGATGTGTGGGTTTTTTTAATATATAAGAAAAAGGGATGATTTTATATATTTTTTTGGGGTCCATCTGCCCTCTTGATTGATCAATGATCCAATACATAAAGGATGTGTGCCTTGGCAGTGGGGGAAGTTAACAATAACTTTGTAATTTATAGTTTGATATTTAATATAGTGCTCTCAAATGACTATCTATGTCTTTCTCTTTTTTTTTTGAGAAAAAAAGTTAAATCCGAATCTGTTAAAGACACAGATCTAATCCCTGAATAGAGATACAACCCACGAATAGATCATTTCTTGGGCATTTAAAAGGGTCGAAATCACTAACCCATATCCATGTAACCACAAAGTAAAATGCAATGGAGTACGTTCGAGCTCGGGTTATCCCGAAGCTCGCCTGCCACTACATCAACTATCTATGTCTTGAAACATTTGAAACTAACCAATCCAAAACCAAAATTCTATATATGAGTCCAAAATTTATTTGCCGGATAAATCAAATTTGATATAAACATGGTTGAACCCTATCTAAGAACCTGAACATATAGTTAAAAAGAAATACTTTATCATATTCATTCTGCATCCAAAATTCCAAATCTTCAATCATGTACAGTTTGATAGGTAAAAAGCTAATAACATCCAACATGTTTGTGTATCGTACAAACAGCTTCATTTCATTAATCATCAAAAGTGTGATTTAAAAATAATAATAATAATAATAATATACACAGAAAAAATTGGAGTTGTCTAAGTGTGATTTAAAAATAATAGACATATAGAAAGACTTGAGTTGTCTTGGTGTTGATTATTTGGGATTCAAACTCCTATCTACTTAATCGACCGGAGTTTTGGCGCCAATTAAATTCCGGTTTAAATAATTTGACTCGCAGTCTAAAATCTGTTTTGCATCGACTTATAATATGGTTTAATGTAACCCTAAGAAAGTGAAATTCAATTGGTCTGGTTTAGACTGTCGGTGAGTAAGTGATTCAGCTTTATAATATTTAATAATTAACTTGGTTAAGTTAAACCGAAATCGGTTTGATTAGGGTTATAACGTCAAGATTGGGTTTCGAGTATTTCCTTTTCTTGTAAAGCACTACTCCGTAATCTATATAAGATACAGAGGGAGAGGCCATCGAGATCACATCACACGCAAAACAAACTACTCACACAGAAAAAAAAGAAGGAAAACGCTCTCATCTATACTATTTAAAGGAAAAAGAAAACAAGAATGGTGAAAAGAGGAGGCACTAAACGAAAGATCAAGATGGAAAAGATCAAGAAGAGAGAGTATCTCGCGACTACTTTCACCAAACGTTGTTTCGGACTTCACAGCAAAGCCGCGCAGCTCTGTCTACTCTCCGGCGCACAGATAGCTATCTTGGCAACTCCTCCTACTTCGCAATCCAACGTTTCTTTCTTTTCCTTTGGTCACTCTTCCGTGGATGCTGTAGTGTCTGCTTATCTCACGGGACAACGTCTTGCTCCTGTTCGGGAAGAGACGAGGGAGGAGGATATTGGTATTTTGATGGCTCGTAAGGAGCTAGGGTTAGAGTTGTGGTGGGAGAAAGAGAGTCTTTCCAAGTCCAAGAATCCTCAAGAATTGATGGACGCGATGAAGTCCATGGAGAGGATTTTGAGTAAACTGCGTTCTGGAGACTTTGTTAGTAATTATAATCAAAGAGAGGGAGACCTAAGGAAGAGTGGTGTCGTTTTACACAAGGAAACTCAAGAACCGGATGAAACCCTAGATGTTCAAGCAAGTTGTTGCATCCCTGAATTTGCTGTAGGTTTTGACAAGAGCAGAGAAGAGCAAGATCAGATCCTGGCGATTTGTGATAGTTTTTGTGCAACGGAGGAAGACAACAACAACATGAGCGTTTTAGGTGGAAGTTTGGATAGGTCTGATCAAGTACTCATGAGTATTGATGAACTTATAGATTTCGAGACGAGTTATGAAAGTTCATCATCAGCATTAGATTATGGTGTTTTGGATAGTACTCAAGACTACGGGGAGTCTTTTGATCAACTTTGAAGGTTCTCATGGTAGGTGTAGAAGAGGAAGCTTTGGTGTTTCAGAACAAAGCTTAGAATGAAGATAAGGGGATTCACCATTGCTGCAGTTTGATGATTATGTGCCTACTGCTTAGTTTGATTAACTATTGCTAGAGATTAATGTCTTATTCTTATATATATGGATGTAATGAATATGAAACTGATTAAACCCATACTGGATCAGCTATCGTTTTGGATTAGTGGTGAAAAAAGATTGAGTTATGTGTTGTTCTTTGCATTTGTAGTTTTAAATGAACGTTTTGTGATGATAACTGTTTACAGAAACAACAAGATACTAGAATACCTACAATCATATGCGGACAGAGCCTATGGTTTTCTTGTTTATGAGATTTTTCCGGATATTACTTGATTGTATTAGTCATCATGTCTAAGATTCAACAACCTCTAGACTTCCCTGCACGTTAATCGCTGGCAGGATTGATAAAACCTATCTGTCCTTATAATATTAAGAGTCTTCCATCTTCACCTCCGTTTCTAACTGAGACTCTGTCCAATATCATGCAGCTTAAACTGCATCAGCATTGCATACAGAACAACCGATCCAGAAACTGCTTGTACCGTTACTTAAAATTCTCCAACAGGTCTGAGTCTCAAGACCAGATAAGCCACTGTAGTAACATTAATCAAGAAGAAGATTACAAAATCATCTAAGTAAAAATAAAAATAAAAATAAATGATGAATAAGTTCCCTGACCTAGGACTGATTAGATTTTCTGTTGCTTGCAATCCTCCAGAAATAGAGACAAACTGAGGAGGAGCAGTAATAACAATGATGTATACTGTATCTGCAGCTAAGTTTCCATATCAATTATTGTATAAAGAACAAGAGTCTTTTCCTGAGAATTGTGTATCTTAGGTAGGTTTCCATCTCTAAGAAGAGAGCCATGACCTGGCTAACATCCAGAATACAACATTTAAAAACAAAGATCTATCTGTAAAACATAGAAGAAATGTCACTTTCATTTTCATTACCCTTTTGTGAAAAAAAAACAAGGATACTCGCATAACTTGATCCATTCCCTGTTGAGCTAATATAAGCCACAAGGGAAGACATCAAAGAATTTTCAAAGTCAGAGAGTATACCATTGAGGATCTCTCTCGGTCGTTAGGGATGTTGTCTAGTAGTTTGGCAAGATATATGAGGAATCATCAGCCTCTTGTATGATTCGAACCTGAAGTCTATTGACTTGGACTAACGAGGGATAACCATAATAATCATCTCTGGTGCAGCTGAATCTCCATTTTGGGGCATGAGTTTAGCTCTGGCTTCCATATGCTCATGCAGTTTGAAACATCTAAAAGACCAGCCTAAAGAAACCAACACATGCAACAAACAATATGATTCAAGTTCTGAGACTCAGAAGGTTTATGGAACAAGTTCCAATCACACCTGATGGGTAAATTAACCCTTCACGAACGAGAAAGTCATTTTTTTCTGATACTAAACAACTAAACCATTAGAGCAGAATAGCTAGCGTGACGCTCAAGAAACCTAACCTGGGGTGACTTCAAAATGGAGAGACGAGTCCAGGACTCTGAAGGTTTCATCGTCTATAACGATGTTGAAAACCCCAACCATGATGGAAGTAAAATAGATCTTCCAAGTTACAAGATCCAGAAAAACCCCAGAATAATTAAGATTTGTTCCCAGTCTTGCTCTTCACGGTAAGTGTAGGGTTAAAACGCACTATGTCCTTATGAAGCGTTCGCTTGAGTTTCGAAGTTTTCCCGGGAAACCGTTTTTTATCTTTATATATCGCTTTTTAATCAAAACGACCTGCATTGCACACAAGTAAAACATAAAACGATGCGCACTGTTGGGAACAAACACATGATGACTTAAACATAGTTTAAAATTATATATTATGGATTATTCATGAATTTGTTTGTCAGTGACTTAAAAAAAAATTAAAATTCTTTTTAACTCAAAACTGTTCGTAACTTTTAGCCATGTTTTCTTTCGAAACCGCACTAAACGTGCGTACTACCTAATTTATTTCGCTCCGCTTATTCCACTACCAACATTAGAAAAAATAGTCTTATTAAAAGTAAATGAAAAAAGGGAATAGTATATTTCAGTTCAAAGATTCTATAACTGGAAAGTATTGGCTTAAAAGCTAAAGTTGTTGTGAAAGATAATTAAGTTGAAGAAAAGAAGCGAGAAGCCACAAGGACACTATATGATGCCTATTTTGGTATGGGTAACACATTCACATGGTTGCACATGTGTTCCGGCCAATTAGCTCTTGTTTTCCATGTGGTTCGGTATCTCTATATACACTCACGCACCCCTTATATCTATATATATATTCACGTCATGGTCATTGCCAATCGCATCCATCGAAATCGTCATCACGCAATCCATGATCCACTCGACTTCAATAATGCAATATCTTCAACATATCTGTTGTTGCCATAAAGTTTGACATTCTCTCCTTGTCCAATGAAGACGTTTATATAAATGTATATAGAATGATTAGGTGCGATGAATTATTTGAGACTAGTCAAGTGAATAGCAGTGAACGAGGGATATAAGAATAAAATTTTACTTTTCATTAAACTGTTACAAGAAGCATGATCTCTCTCCCTATCATGTAACATATGATAAGATATGTTACATGAATGAGAGTCTAGCAAGAGCAAGCGACAGCTTTATTTCTACCAAGAGAAAGAACTTAGCAACAATGAGGTGCTTTAGTATATTGATATATTCATTCACAAAAATGGTAAATGAATTTCTACAAATATACTTAAATTTCATACCAAGTATAATATTCAAATAATTTCAATCTCATTCATTGCCATCTACACTGTTTACTCATGTTTATATATTTGTAACATGTATGTGTTTTTAATATATGGAAAATTTAGAAACAGAAAGAAATCAATGAAACAGAAATAGAGATTTGTATGAACAACAAACTGAACATTCTGTTAGTGTAGGCCTTCTTCACATTTGACAATAATTTGATGAATATCAGGCAAAATGACGTTTCTGCCCACCAAGTCATGAGCCTTCAAAGACTCCTTGTTCCAATCCGTCTTATAGACAACGGTCAAAATAGAGATTGCACAAACGATCTGGGCCCCAAGTAGGCCATAGCATAGGCCCATGAAGTCTAAGCCCCACACAAACGCTAAAACAACAGCCACTGGTGCTCCAACTACATAAAAGGCGTAGAAATTAATCTTCGCCCCTACACGTGGCCTCGCACTGCCACGTAGGATCCCGCAGCTTGTGGTTTGAGGACAGTTGGCAAGCTCACAAGCTCCGATCACCGGAAGAACCGCCGCCGTCAGCTCCAGGACAGCTTCATCCGCCGTGAAAACTCTCCCCCAAGCCTTTCTCCCCACGGTGGTCCCCACAAGCCCGAACACAGACACGGCCACGGCGGCGACCACCGCTACTGCCGCCGCCGTCCTCGCCTTCTCCGGCCGTCCTGCTCCTAACTCGTTGCTCACCCTCGTGGAAACCGCGGCGGAGAGCGCCGTGGGGATTGTATACATCAACGACGTCGTCTGTATCACGATGGCTGCCGCCGCTAGCGCCACCGTTGGCTCCGGGAGATATCCGGCGAGGACCGTCATGAACTCGTACCACCACCACTCCAAACAAACGGCTATGCAGCTTGGAACGGCGAACTTGATCAGCGTTGACCACACTTCGTCATTACAAGAGTGATCTCTCGAGGTAGACAGCTGCAGCAACGGCGTTTTAAGACAAGAACTCGTTTTGTCGCTGTTCAAGTAGATGTAGCAAAGAAGAAGCAACAAGGAGATGAAGTTGGTGAGGAAAGACGAGACCGCGACTCCAGCGACGCCGAGAGAGAAGTGAAACGTGAAGAAAGCTGTAATGGGGAGGTGAAGAAGGACGGAGACTAACGTGCACCACATCAAAGGCCACGTGGTGCCTTTACAACGTAGGTAAATACGTAGAGGATGAAGGAAGCTATTAGCTAAGAGATCAGGTAAAGAGAAGAAGCAATAGAGAGATGCGACATGTGTGATGTCTTGTTGTTGGCGGAGGATAAGCATTAGAGGTTGGAGGCTAAGCCAGAGGAGAGAGATGGGGAGAGAAGCTAAGAGGAGGAGGAAGATGGTTCGCTTGAGGGTCAAGGAAGCGAGTGAAGGGTTTTTAGAGCCTATGGCTTGGCCACAAAGTGGTTCCATACCGGTGGCTAAACCGGAAAGAACCGAGTAACCGGTTATGTTGGTGAATCCAACGGCTAAGGCTCCTCCGGCGAGCTCGAGGCTACCTAGTCGGCCCATACACACGACGGAGGTCATGTTCTTTAGGTAGTTTAGTATGCTCATTGCGGCCACCGGGAAACTTATGTCCCAAATATTCTTCATCTCCTCCACCACCTTTTTAAACATTAATTGGAATAATACAATAAGTTATATAAGTGGATATTATTTAAAAATTATGATTGAGGCTGTACTGAGAATAGATATTTTAGATATAGTGAGATACCTCTGGCATTGTCGGGCTATACTTGTGTTGGAGATTTATGAGACTTGAGTCTTCTTCTGCTACCATTGTTAGAGTTTGTTTTGGTTGAGATGAGATATTTTAAAATATGAAGAGAAGAGATGCCCTTTTATAGAGATTTTTTTTTGGGTGTGCTTGGTAGTATGGTTCATAGTTTGGCATGGTGATGATTTCAAAAATAGTTATTCATTATTGTGTTATTCTTTTCTTAGGGGAAAACACATGCAAACGGAACTAAGTAAAATCAATCCATATTATGTAATTATGAAGGACGACTCTTTGTCCAATATTTTGATTAAATACATGATTTTCTTGACCACAAAAGTACGAATCTATGTCAGATTTTTTCGTACATAAAGCGTCACATAAAAAAAACGAAAGTATAGGTATGTGGCAATTTAATACAACAGAGAGCAATAAAGAACAAAAACTCAAATCAAATTTCTTCACAACATGCGCGGATCAAT